GGACTATGTCTGGGAGGGGCCCACTTCGAAGCTGGACCAGTACCACGAGTCGACGATGCGCCAGACGTCCGAGTAGCTCTGATCGACCTTTACAAACGAGGTGGTGTGTGGAGTTTCGGCTGTTGTTGGAGAGGCTGCCTTCTTTTCGCGATATCCGCTACCAGGTAGTCGGTGTGTTGGTGGAATAGCCCGGTCGATCTCTTCGCCCACCTCGCGAATCGAGTCCAAGATAGCTTGGGCTTCGCGACGCAGTTGGTCGACGGCAAGCGTGGTATCCGCGCCCGACTCTGCGCCCAAATCCCGCGTCTGACCCAAAGGCCACCGCATCTCTCGAATCGTCCGTGCTGCCGGCTTGACAAAGCTGCTAGGTGGAAGAGGAAAAGTGGTCGAGTTGTTGATGCGCATACAAGACGCCAGCGTGGCGGATGAAGACGCCGCAAGCGTCGCACACGACGACGATGATGATGGACGCGAAGTGGAAAGCAACAGCGGCTGCAACGTCGTACTCGCCCTGGCGGTGCTGCCTTCATCTGCACAAGGTGCGGCGTGGGTGACGTGTTCGGCCCGCACCGGCGTCACACGGCCCGTGCTCACAGCATCCATGCAGGGGCTCGGAAAGCCGCCGAGATCGAAATGAAGCGAGCCCACCGCACTCACCCGCCGCTCACCGTCATCGTCCGTGGGCAGCTGCAGCGAAAACGGATGCTCGCCCAGCGAGTCGTTCGAGTACGTCGACATCATCGAGTCGCGCGACGCCAGCGAGCGCGGCGAATCGAGCGGACTCGCACTCGCACTCTGCGGCGCGTGCGGCACCGTGTCCGTGCGCGGCTGCGGCGTCGCCAATGCCGAGGCGGGTGGCAGCCCAAAGCTACGCTTGCGAGACGGCGACGGGATGATGTCGAACACAGGCTCGTCGTCATCGCGCTCGCCGAGGCTGATGAAGCTGCGAACGCGGACGGGCGGAGAGGCGGTTGGCGCGTGTTGCGGCGCGCCTGCGCGAGGAGGAAATGTAAATTGCGGCTCGGACGACGCTTGGGACCCTGGCGCGGTGATGACAGCGGGCGCGGATAGTGGCCCCCGGACGGGCTCTTTGGAGATGACGAGTCGGGCAGGAAGGGGTCCATTAGCGCCGGCACGCCGCGTGGTCTGTGCATCCACAGACTGTCCAGCAGCCGGTGCTGGGGGCTGTTGCGACCTGAGTGGTTGTGCTTGCCTAGCACCGTTGGAGGCAACGTGCTCGTCCACGCGGTCCAGCTGGCGGCGACCAACTTTTGGCAAGTCAGCATTGGGGCCTCTTCCGACCTGCTCAAACGCACTGGCGATGGCGCGGACCGACTGGCGCTGGTTTTTGGACGAGACGCTCGAGGAAGAGTTGTGGCCCATGAGCACCCTCTGGATGGCGATGGACGATCCGAGCACCGAGGAGATGGACTCGGAGCGCGACGCCGAGCTGTGTCTGCCCATGCGACGTGCAGCTCCGTAGCTCGAGGTGCGCGACCTGGCAGAGGACTGGTAGCCTACATCGCTGTATTCGGACGCCGAGCCGACGCTGGAAGGCGAGCTGAAGGTGAGATCGAAGGAGGAGTCCGAGTCGGACTCGTAGAGGAGGCGGTGTTGGAGTTTTGTGAGCGCCTGCGGGTGCTGCGGCGCGGCGTGCTTGATCATGGCGGGGTCCGCGGCCGGGAGCGCGTAGATGAAGGGCGAGGTGAGCGCGGGACCGATTTGTGTAGATTCTAGGGCTGATTCGGTGGCGGGATGACGATTGAAGTGGCGGTGCATCATGCTACGAATGGCGGTTTGGCGAGTCTCTGGACAGAGATGGAGGACGAGGGCCGCACGGAGGAAAGAGGAAGAGAGAGGGAGAGCACCGGAGAGGATGTAAAGTTGGGAGTAGATGCGATGCTATGCTAGCGGGCGGCCCGATCTCCTCCTGTGAGCTGGACCTGCGTGCTTGGCAAAGGCTTTTTGGTGTAGGGCGCAGAAACCGGTTCTGCGTTGAGGAGAGAGATAGCACAGCTACTCTGTTGGAGAGAGAAGGTGGGGACGAAGTTCGAGTCGGACTCGAATGGATGCGCGATGGAAGCAGACGAGGTTGTCAACGTGAAAGAGAAGAAGGCTTCAGCCGGCTGAAGGTGGTGTGTGGTGTGGGATCGATCGTGTTCCTGGCGTGGCAGGGTTTGAAAGCGTGTTGCGGAGAGGAGTTGGGTGAATGCGTCGGGGAGGGAGGCGTGTGAGATACAGCTTTGTGCGAAGGCGAGCGCGAGCGCAGGCGGTGCACGCGACGAGCTGTCTACGGGAAGGGAAAGGGGGCGTGGTTGGTGGAGCGCTTGGAACGCATGAAGGAGGCGAGGCGGCCTGGGACGGTCCAAGGGGAGGCAGGCCGATATCGTGGCTGTCGGCGGTTGCGAGTGCGCATCGGTTGCTCGCGACTGCAACCACCATCTGTAGGCCGGCTTTAGACGCAGGGAGCTCTGCGCAGCGCTGTGCAGTTGGAAATGCAGTCCAATCGCAATCAGCTGCTGGGATGCATCATTGATTGGCATTGACGCCAGCTGGACTGCAGTGTGAATGAATTCGGCCCTCAGAAAATGCACGAGCCTGAGCCGTGTTCGTTTTCGGAGAGGCCAGGCGAGGCCAGGCGAAGCAAGGCAAGGAACGCGTGCAAGCGAGCAAGGGACCGCTCGCCTTCCCATGCACGGCGATGCGATGCGATCCGACGCGACGCACTGCACTGCACTGCACCAGCGCTGTAGCCCGGCGTAAGGTTCTCTTGCGCAATCGGTCAGGGGAAAGACCATCAGCCTCGAGCCTCGTCACCACGCCATACCAGCAAGGTTGGCGCAGGATGAGGTTGCGAGTGTGATCATAATCCAGAGACGCCAGGAAAGGGTCAGGGTCGGTCGGCGCATCCGATTTTCCCATCTTCGACGGCGGCGCAGGGTCGAGCGGTTTAGACTGCGAGTCGCCACGGCGCGTGAGTCTGCTGGCAAGGGGCTGCGCAGCGCTTCGCAACTTTGACAGCTGCACATGCAGGCCGAACAAAAGCGCCCAGCTCGTTGGCAGCAAGTCGGCCTCGGATGCACGCTAGCCTCGTCCAAATCACATCCCGATATGGCAGTTGCACCCACGCAAAAAAGCTGTCGCATCGTCCCAAGCGCTTGGACCGCTCCGACACTGACGTCGACTTCATCTTCGTCGCTCACCGTCTCGATGAGCAAGCAGAAGGCTATGAACACCCACACCGCCAAGAGAAAGTGAGGGCGAGAGGATCATCACCATTGCCTCTCCGGCGATCCGTTCCGCCACCGGATCTTCCAGTCTCGCCCGACCCTCTTCGGCGCAAGGTAGAAGCTGCTTGCACAGAAGCCTGGCCTGCGACTCACACGTGCTGAGCCTGCGGTTCACAGCATGTCAGTTCACACTGGATAGTCTCTTGCACTCTTGATCCGAACCAGCGACAGGGTACCCAATCAAGGCTGCATTCTCAAAGGCAAGGGCAGCAGAGATTGGCTCGGAATGCACCGTGCGTCCACCGCCAACACGCTTCACTCCGACCGCGCCCAATCCCCCGCCCAATCCAGCCGGCGGGGCGGCTAATCGACGCGTCCCAGGGTCCAACGAAATCGCGATGCATCGGGCAAATTCAATCGTGTTAGAGCGTGTTTGTTATCCAATCCGTATTGTGATCCTCGGCCGAGCTTTTTCACATCACGTGTAGCGAAGACCCACTTCCAAGTCGCGAAAGCAAGTCCAATTCAAAGTAGTTCAAAATTTGTGAAGTCTCGAGTGCGTCACGGCACTACACCACTGTGCCGGTCGCCAGGTTTGTCGACCTTCCCAACGAGCGCGCTGCCAGAGCACATTCATCGTCTGACTGCGAGACCTCGGCCTCGCGCCCCAATGCCGAGAGGCAGTGGGGCCATGTCTTGCGAAGGCACAGAACAGCGAGACTGCCCAGTCACGACCGCAGAGCGAACTCGGCCTGGAAGCCAGCAGCCGTGAATTCGAGTAGCAGGCCAGCGTGGGCCGTCGAGACCGTCGAGTGGCATCGAGTGCGACACCTACACCTCCTTTCCTCTTTCTCTCCCTAGGTCACCTTATCCCCTCAAGACACATAATCAAGGTAAGCTTTGCCGAACAGCATACGCGGCACCATCGATACCATCCAGACACGACGACAGAGACGATGTGCATCGCAGATACGGACGCTTCGACACAGCAAAGGCAGATGCGCAGCATAGCATTTCGACATTCGCAGCCGGCGCAGCATCCATACCATACAGCAGAAACCTACCGCATATCCACCTAGAGCCTTCCAACAGTGCTCTCGCACGACGACAGACCCGCTTCAGCGTCATCAGAGTGCCCCGGGACATTGTACAACTCGCAGCATCAGCACACAGTACCATTACCAATACCAGCATCAGACGGTCTTTCGCACCAGCAATCGCAGGCTCTCCGTAAGAGCAGCAACACCTTCGCCAGGAAGGAGCGCACTTGGTCCGGCTGCTGGAGGTCGCAGACCAAGCTGTTGGAAAGCACGGACGTTCAGGCCAGATGGGCTGTTGTTCTGCCTTGTCAAGCAAAGACGGATCGTGACCTACTATGCGTCCTTGCGACGTGGCAGGCAGAGATGCTGTACAGTAGACGTCTGCCATTCGTCTTCCGCATGCGCTTGCGATCACACAGCAACAATGCAACGACCAGATCCAGACAGCCTCATCGGCCCCGACTTTGCCAACGCAACAGCATCAGCAACCATACACCAGTCAGAGGCCTCTCTCCGCGAGTCCGCAGCACTGGCAGAGATCAGCATTCCAACTCGACATTACAAACAGCATCAACAAAGCATCTGCGGCCAATTCCGACTTCTCGTTGCACTAGTCTCTGCGCGTCTGGCAGTGGTGCCGCGCAAAAATGTTCCAATCCCAGAATCTTCAGAAAACTGACTCGCAATTTCCTTGCTTCCTACCAACGCAACCACCACTCGCTCCGTTCGTCCATTGCACTCGTCTACGCACATCCGCCATCGACTCGACTCAGATTCAACATGGGTATCACTCGTGACTCGCGACACAAGCGATCGGCTTCCGGTGCTCGCCGCGCCTACTACCGCAAGAAGCGCGCCTTCGAGCTCGGTCGCCAGGCTGCCAACACCCGTATTGGCGCCAAGCGCATCCACACCGTCCGCGTTCGCGGCGGCAACCTCAAGCACCGTGCCCTCCGTCTCGACTCGGGCAACTTCGCCTGGGGCTCGGAGCACATCACTGCCAAGACCCGTGTTCTTGGTGTCGTCTACAACGCCTCGAACAACGAGCTGGTCCGCACCAACACCCTCGTCAAGGGCTGCATCGTCCAGGTCGACGCTACCCCCTTCCGTCAGGCTTACGAGAAGCACTACGGCCAGCCCGTGACCACCAAGCGCCGCGCCGCCGGTCAGGGTGCCGCCGAGGCCCACGTTGACGAGGCCAAGCTCTCCAACTCGGTCACCCGCAAGCTCGAGAACCGCCGCAAGGAGTCCAAGCTCGACAGCCTTGTTGAGCAGCAGTTCGGCGCCGGTCGTCTCTACGCCGCCATCTCGTCGCGCCCCGGCCAGTCTGGTCGCTGCGACGGCTACATCCTTGAGGGCAAGGAGCTCGAGTTCTACGTCCGCCGTCTCAAGGCCTCCAAGGGCTCCAAGAACTAAGCGCTTCTGAAGCGTCTGGTTCCCGGATTCCCTTTCTCCCTCCTTCATCCTTCACATCGCGCGTCATTCGTTCCATCCTTCGACCTATCCTCCTCTCCCACTCTGTATACTGATTCTCCTTCTGGGTCTACAAGGAGGCGACGTGTAGTGCATTTCCAGTGGCTCATTCACCGTGGTTTCGCCTTGGACACGGCTGTAGAGTTGCGCACATCTCCATCCTCACACCACCAACCCCCCAAAAAATTCTTCCAAGGCTTGAATGCAAAGCATGCTCAACATCTCTTTTCTTCGTGGCGTGATTGTGAGAGATCTCAAATTTGCACGTGCAGAGCCGAGCCTTTGTTCGAAGGAAAGATGGGGGAGACTGAAGTTTCATTCGATGTACGTGAGTGCGGTGCTGGGAGTCTAGTCGTCACGAATGCTTTCAAACTGGGCCTTGGCAGCGAGCATGGCCTGCTTCTCGGCCTCGAGGTTCTTGAGCTTCTCGGCGGTCGAGTCCTTGACTTCCTGCGGCATGCGCGACCACTCCTGCGGCTTGTTCATGGGCGCCGAGATCTTGTCGATGCCAACCGCGTTGAGCTGGAGCTTCTTGTCGAGCTTGGCCAGCTCCTGGTCGATGTTGACCAGGCCGCGGATGAGCAGGTGCGCATTGAGACGCGACGAGATCGACGAAACCGCACAGCCCTTGGGCACATCGGCGGCGCTCGACACAACATTGACGCTCGTGCAGCCCTTGACGAGCGTAGCCACGACGTCCGACGACGACGTGAGGATCTGCTGGAATCCGGCATCGCTGGTCTCGAGGAACACCTGCACATCCTTGAGCAGGTTGTAGTCCGTGCACATACCGCGCACGGCGCGCACGGCGGCAAACACCTCCTCGAACGCAGCCTCGGCACGAGCATCATCGCGACTGGCCATGTAGACCGGGTAGCGCGTCAGGGCGATGCTCTCGGCCTTCTCGGCCGCACGGCGCGGCAGCCTCTGCCACAGCTCCTCGGTGACAAAAGGCATGAAGGGATGCAGCAGCTTGAGGCCTTCGTCGAGACACGTGTAGAGCGTCTGCTGCGCACTGGCGCGCGCCTTGGCGTCCGCCGCCGCCGGATCGGTGATGGGCTTGATCGCCTCAATGTACACATCGCACAGCTCGTACAGCCAGAAATTGTACACGGCCGAGGTGGCCGCCATGAAGTTGCGCTCCTTGAGGCACTCGTTGACCGTCTTGCTCGCCGTGTTGAGCTTGTGCAGGATCCACTTTTCGACGAGCGACTCGTCGCCGCTCGGCTGCTCGTCCGCCGCGGGCTGGAACGACGCGATGGGCTCGAGCTTGAGCAGCGCAAACTTGGTGGCGTTCCACAGCTTGTTGCAGAACTTGCGGTAGCCCTCGACACGCAGGATGTCGAGGTTGATGTCGCGGCCTGCGCTGGTGTAGGCGCACAGCGCGAAGCGCAGCGCATCGGTACCACACTGCGGGATGCCCTTGGGGAAGTCCTTCTTCTGACCCTGCGCCGCCTTGGCGATCTCCTTGTCGTCGAGGTTGCCCTCCTTGAGCTTGGTGTGCAGGCCGTCGAGGTCGATGCCCTCGATGACGTCGATGGGGTCGATGACGTTGCCGAGCGACTTGGACATCTTGCGTCCGTGGGCGTCGCGCACCATGGCGTGGCAGAAGACCTCCTTGAAGGGCAGCTGGCCCGTGAGGTAGACGCCGAGCATGCACATCCTGGCGACCCAGAAGAAGAGGATGTCCCAGCCGGTCTCGAGCAGCGAGGACGGGTAGAAGTGCTTGATGTCGTCGGTCTTGTCGGGCCAGCCCATGATGGAGAAGGGCCAGAGGCCGGAGCTGAACCACGTGTCGAGCACGTCCTCATCCTGCTCGAGCGTGTAGCTCTTGCCGCCGGCGAGCTTGTCGGCGCGCTCCTGCGCCTGCTCGAGCGACCTGCCGACGACCCAGAACTTGTCGTCGCTGCGGTCCTGCGCCTCGCCCTCGATGTTGACAAAGTAGACGGGGCAGCGGTGGCCCCACCAGAGCTGACGCGAAATGCACCAGTCCTGGATGTTCTCCATCCATCGGAAGAACTCCTTCTCGGAGACGTTGGGAGTGATGGACATCTCGCCGGCGCGGACGCGCTCGATGACCTTGGCGGCGAGGGGCTGGCAGTTGACCCACCACTGCGGCTTCATGATGGGCTCGATGACGTCTCCCGAACGCGAGCAGATGGGCACGGTCATGGGGTTGTCCTTGGTCTCGACGTAGCTGCCGATCTCCTTGAGCTTGTCGATGACAGCCCGACGCGCCGAGAAGCGCTTCATGCCGGCAAAGTCGCCGCAGTTTTCGTTGAGGGTGCCGTCGTCATTGAGGATGTTGACGAACTCGAGGTTGTGGCGCTTGCCGACCTCGTAATCGTTGGGGTCGTGCGCTGGGGTGATCTTGACGGCACCGGTTCCGAACTCCATGTCGACGATGATGGAGTCGGCGACGATGGGGATCTTGCGACCGGGGACGAAGGGGTGAACGACGTTCTTGCCGTGGAGGTGCTTGTATCTCGGGTCGTCGGGATGGACGGCGACGGCGGTATCGCCGAGCATGGTCTCGGGACGCGTGGTGGCGACGACGATCTTCTCGTCGGAGCCCTCGATCTGGTAGGAGAAGCTGACGATGACACCGAACTCGATGCGCTCGTTGGCGGGATAGCCGGGGACGTTCATGAGGGTGCGGCCGTTGAGCTGCTTCTGGTCGACCTCGAGGTTGGAGAGGGTGGTGTGGAGCTTGCAGCACCAGTTGACGAGGCGGTTTGCGCGGTAGATGATGCCGTCCTCGTGGAGCTTGCAGAAGGCCTCGGTGACGGCCTTGGAGCGGGGCTCGTCCATGGTGAAGGCCTCTCTGGAGAAGTCGTAGGAGGCACCGAGACGGCGCATCTGGTTGGAGATGCGCGACTGGTAGTCGTCCTTCCACTCGAAGACCTTTTCGAGGAACTTTTCGCGGCCATAGTCGTAGCGCGACTTGCCTTCGGTCTTTGCGAGACGCTTTTCAACGACGCTCTGGGTGGCGATACCGGCGTGATCGTAGCCGGGGTTGAAGAGCGTCCTGTAGCCGTTCATTCGGTACCATCGGATGAGGGTGTCCTGGATGGAGATGGTGAGGGCGTGGCCGATGTGGAGGGAGCCGGTGACGTTGGGGGGCGGGGCGGGGACGATGAAGGTCTTTTCCGGGTTGTGGGGGTCGGAGTCGGTTGGCTCTGCAGGCTTGAAGTGGTTGCTCTTCTCCCACCATTGGTACCAGCTCTGCTCTACGTGGAGCGGGTTGTAGCCGTTCTCCATGGGTTGGGAGAGGTCCTTCTTCTCGCCGGGGACGGTGTTGTTGACCCATTCGGGTTCCTGCTTGACCTCCTTCTTGGGCTTCTCCTTCTTCTTTTCGGCGCCGGAGCCTGCGGGGTTCTGGGGAGCCTTTTCGCTCTTGAGAGCATCCTTGGCGGCCTGCTTTGCGAGCTTCTCTGCGAGCTTTGCCTGCTTCTTGAGGGCGCTCTTGGTCATTGGCTGACCATCGGGGCCGATGGGTGCGTCGGCAGGGGCAGCATCAGCGGCAGCAGCATCCTTCTGGGCGGCTGGTGCCGATGCGGGCTGCTGTGGCTTTTCGGGCGCGGCGCCCGTGGGAGCGGACGAAGACATGATGCGACCGAGTTGAAACGGGTGTTGAGTGAAATTGGAGCCGACTCGACCGGTTGATGGGGGTGTGCGGGCAGCGATCGGAGCTACTCCGTTGCAGCGAGAGGGAGCGACGCTTTGTCGAGTTGCGTGGACGAGAGGCGAAAGGAAGCGCGCACGCGGCAGCATACAAAGTTGACTACGAGCGAGCCTTTTTGTACGGTGCGGGTGCGGATGTTGGTGTTGACTCGACCGACGCTGCGGTACTAAGGTGTTCGAGTCCGGTTCCTAGTGAGGTGAGGAGAGTGGAATGGCGATGGTGACTCGGGAAGTGATTGGAGCGAAGGTGCCGTGCCAAAGTTGCTGGAATGATGCGCCGTGCCAATTTTGGCTTCTGACTCGTGGGGAATTTTTTGCGCAGCACACCACAGCGCAGCGCAGGGCCAAAGCGCAGAGTCACGTGCCGGTCTCGACAGGTCCTCTTTTTGAGGCCACATTTTCTACCTCGGATTTTCCGTTTTCCTTTTACCTTTTTTCTCACGGTGGCAAGGGCGGTGCGGGCCCGACGAAAAGGTAAATTGTCGGATCACACGCGACATCGCCCCGCCCTCTGACAGCTGTCGCTTACAGCGGGGATTTGGGCCCGAGCGCGCGCACTTCATGTCGGTTCCAACACGGCCCAAAAGCCTAAAAGCCAACTCAGTCGATCCCGCCTTCGAGACTAACTCAGACCGAGTCCCCGCTCTTCTGAAAGCGACGTCGACTTGCCTCTTGCCTGAGGGCATAAAGCGGACCTCATCCGACCAGGTCTGCTTTCCTCCCGACCACCACCTTCGCCAACAGCACCCTTATTCCCACGTCTACCTCGTCTGGTGTTGCAATCATGAAGAGCCTCCCTGCCGAACTGCACGCCAAGCCGGCTGCACCTGCGACGCTGTTCCAGTACATCTTCCAGAACATCTTCCCTGTCATCATGCTGGTGCGCCTGTACGTGTCGGGTCTGCCCGGTGCTATTGTGGAGCAGCTGCGCAACCCGAACCCCATCAACCTCATCAATCCGCTACACTGGAAGCAGCTCGCCTTCAACCACGGCTTCAGCTCCATTCTCGCCGTGGCCGACGAGATGTACAAGGACATGAAGACGCCGCTGCTCCGAGGCGCCTACGGTCGCGTGCTCGAGGTCGGCGCAGGTGCTGGAAACTCGGTGGGCTACTACGATCAGTCCAAGATCGAGCGTCTCTTCTGCCTCGAGCCCTGCGCTCCTCTGCGCGAGAAGCTCGTCGCCAGGCTCGAGCGCGTCGGTCTGGCCAAGAAGACCACCGTGATCCCCGTCGGCCTCGACGCAAAGAGCCGCCATGCGCTCCTGGAGGCTGGTATCGAACCCGAATCGCTCGACACCATTGTCCTCTTTCAGGTGCTCTGCAGCGTGCCCAATCCCAAGGCCCATCTCGAGTTCCTCCAGAGCCTCCTCAAGCCCGGCGGTCAGGTCATCGTCTTTGAGCACGTCGGCAGCAAGCACGGCTTCACCCGCACCGTCCAGAACATCTGGAACCCCATTTGGCACTTCAACTTTGGCGGCTGCGACATCAACAGGGACAGCGGCGACTGGCTCCGCGACATTGGCGGCTGGAAGCAGATCGACCTCAAGCGTCCCGTGCACGAAGTAAGTCTGCCCGCTCGCGTACAAGTTGCTCATGCGCCCACACTGACCGTCTTGTCTTGCGCTGTGACTTCAGACCACCGCCGAGTTCCTGCCCCACGACATTGGTCGCCTCGTCAAAGCCTGACCCTCTCGTCCGAGCTTTGGTGCCCGACACGCTCGTTCCGTAGCCTCGTCCGCAGCTCCGCACAGCCTCGCTCTGTTTGTTTCGAATCGATGAATTCAAGCGTCACGTTTTACAACATCAATGCCGGCCTGGCGTGCAAAGGGCGCGGAGATGCGAAGAAACAATACTGATACACATTCGTTCCAAGAGACCAAAGAAAGGGGGAAAGGAAGGGGGATGGTAGGGTCATGTTTACTGGCGGTTGTTGAGCATCTGGGAGAAGTTCTCCCAGGCATACCACATGCCTGCCAGATTGTTACCCTGGGCTGCAGGGTCGAGAGCCTCTTTGCCCTCTGCCTCGGCGGCGGCTGCAGCTGCTGCGGCTACGGCGTTGAGCGCACTTTCGCTCGGCATGGCGTCGGCCAGACCGTTTTCGGCCTTGTCCGTGCCGGCCTTGGCTTGCTGCTGCTCGTACGTGCGCGCCAGCGAGTTCTGCACATACGTGCGGTAGGATGCCGACGAAGCCTGATCGCCACGTCCCGGGTTTTGGTGGTTGTAGTGCTGCGAGAACGACATGGGTCGATCCGGCATCTCGGTCCCCAGCTCGCGTCCGCCAAGCAGCTCGTACAGGTTGTACGCTTCCGACGACTCGCCCACCTCGCCACCCTCGACACCCGATGTTCCAGCACCAGCGTCTGTCGCCTCATGCGCCTGCGAATGAGCCTCCGCGCCAGTCGGCAGCCCGCTCGCACCGCCACTCTCGACCTCGCCCTGCTGCTGCTCCGTAGCCCAGGCGCTGCCGTTGTGCTGCTCGCTGTGGTTCAGAATGCCCTGTCCAAAGCCCACAGGATATGCGACGGGCACACCCACCAACGGCCGGTCGAGCAGCGCCTCGTTCCAGTACGAGTTGCCCGTCTGCGGACCCAGGTTGTGCGGGTCGGTGGGAAGTCCCACAAATGGCAGCAAAAACGCAGGGATTCGATCCGGTCCGCCATCCACGTCCGTGCGAGCGCTGTCGTCGTTGCTGTCCTTGGCTTCCGACTCGCCTAGCGACGGATCGATCGCTCCCATGATGCCCGACGCGCGTGCACCATCGGCGCTCTTGGCATCGGCGATGCTTTCGCCGTTGGCACCCGTGCCCGCCGCAGCCGCCGAGCCATCCGGCTTGCTCGTCGCCAGGCTCGCAATGTCGCCTCCGATGCCATGCAGCATCTGCTTGAGCGTGGAGCTGTACCTGCCCGCCTGCTCGGCGACGTTGGTGAGCCGGAGCATGCTCGAGAGCTCGTCGAGCAGGTGCAGCGCCTTCTCAATGTGCGGGCGGTGCACCTGCGAGCTTGGGTCGAGCTTGCAGTGGATGGCGAGGATGAGGCCGGCGTTGAAGGCAAAGTACGCGCACTGGTTGTACATGCTGTTGGCGGGCTTGACCGCCAGCACGTCCTCGACCGTGCTGATGAGCGCCTCGGCCGACTGCAGACACACCTCCAGCGACTTCTGCACCGACTCGGGCGGCTTCCACGCGCCCTGCTCGTCGATGTACGGGCGGTGCAGCGTGATCATGCACTGGTTGTAGATGAACTCGAGGCTGTATGCCTGCTGATAGTCCTGCAGCTCCTCGGTGATCTTGGGATCGTACACGCCCTTGTCGAACGACTGTGCAGCCACCTGCGCCAACAGCTCGTCGCTCGGACGGACCGAGCCCTTGGAGCGTCGTTCAAAGTGCTGCTTGAGCTTGTCGGGCAGATTCTCGCGCCATTTTGCGTACTCGTCGTTGAGGTTCGGGTCCGGAGGCGACGAGATGCCGAAGCGGAAGAGCTGTTGGCTCTGGCGCAGGAAGATGTGGTAGATGCGGAATCGCGACCAGTGATAGTCGAAGTTGGCCTGGCTCGGCACGCGCGGCACCAAGGCGGTGGCACCGGGCGGCAAGATGATGCGGCTCGGGTCGGGATCAGCCAGGCCGGCTCGCTCGTACATGGCGTAGAGGGCGTCGTAGTCGTCGGGATACCGGGTGTCGAAACCCTCGTGCGTGAGACAGGGAGGCTGTCCGATGCGATGAGCGTGTGCGACTTCGTAAAACACGATGTTCCACCAGAGGTTCCTGCGCGCCTGCGCCTCCTCGATGCGCATGCCAGACCAGTGCTCGGGATCTCGATGCAGACCGGCAGCATGGGCGAGTCGGGTGGTGAGCGCAAAGCAGGTGCCGGCGAATTGCAAGTTGAGCTCGTTGAGGTGCCAGATGCCACGCAGCAGCGACGCCTTGATGAGATCGATGGGAGCCTGGAACGCACTGGACCAGGCCGAGGGACAGGCGATCTGGAGCGCATCGATGCAGTGGCCAGCGACGCTGAGCAGGGTGCGCTCGTCGGAGCACTGGGCGCCCGGGATGGGGTCAAAGTTGCGAAGATTGTGACCTTCGTGTTCGGGCGAGTTCCTCTTGACCTGGAGCGTGAGGGCGAGAAGCACGAGGAGCAGAGGCACGAGGGGCGGATCGGCGGGCATGGTGGTTGGCTTGGAGTGCCACCATCGCAAGAAGCTCTGGATGCGCGCGATGTTGATGTCGATGACGACGACATTGACAAAGGGCTCCACCTGCGTCTTGAAGGTGTAGAGCAGCGCCGAGATCTCGTCTGCGGTGGGGAGGGTGATGGCGCTCTCGAAGAGGACGCCTGCGATGGCAGCGGCGCGAGCGGCGTTGACGCGCGTGTTGAAGTCGCGCGAGCGGTCCTTGCCGACCAGCTCGAGCTTCTCGACCTGTTCGCGGCGGGTCTGCACCATGACGGCTTGGCGACGGTCGTCGAGACGTGGGAAGTCGGCGCGTTTGAAGATGCGGCCGTTGGTGCTTCCAAAGGCGTCTTCGGGCTCCTTGCGCTTGCGCACCATGGGCGAGCCTATTGACGAGTCGCCGGCAAAGTCGTCTTCGTCCGAGCCGGGGCGCTTGCGGTCGTCGACGTAGTGGCAGGGGTCGTCGGTGGGGTTTTCGCGACAGTTGGTGCAGATGGGCTTGATGCGATCGCACTTCTGCTTCTTCTCTCTGCACTGGAGGCAGCTGGTGATCTTGCGGAAACGCGTGATCTTGGTGGCTGATTTGGAGCGCGGCTTGGGCTTGGCGCGCTCCTTCTTGGGCTTGGGCGTGCCGGTGATGCTCATGGAGGCATCGGCGTCTTGCTTGACGGGCGAGCCGGCGTCGGTGATCATGGAGGTGTCTGCATCTTCGGGGTGGTGCATGGATCTGTGTGCATCGGTGCCGCTGGCGTGGGCATGCGGCCTGGAAGAGTCTGCGATGGCGCCGGACGGATCGATGTCGGATTGAGCGTGTGCGCCGGCCGAGGTGGCCGTGTCAGGTGCTTGACTTGGCTGCGCATGTTGTGGCTGGGCGTGTGGGGGTGTGCCGACGTCCATGGCATTGTCGGCTTGCTCTTGTGCGGCGCGCTGCTCCTCCTCCTGTCGCCTTTCTTGTTCAGCATGCTGTTTGGAAGCGTTGACGGCGGCGGCGATGACGGCGTCTACGTCGCCGAGCGAGCTGGAGGAGAGGTGGTCGGATGTCGAAGCGCCGGCAAGGGGGAGGAGGACGTTGTTGGAAGCACTGGCGGCATGTGCGTTGGCAGCGAGGGTCTCTGCGTGGCGACGTGCTTCGAGCTGAGCTTGTTGCTGCTGGAGGAGCTGCTGCTGACGCTGCTCCTGCTCCTTTTGCTGCTGCTGCTCGAGTTCCTCGTCGAGCTGGGCGGCGGTGGCGAGCTCCTGGAGAGGCTGGTCGGGATGCTGGTGGTCGGACATGCTGAAGGGGGCGTGGGCGTCGATGCGACGCGACACGAGGATGTCGGCCAGGTGAGGACGGCCGAGGCAAGCAGCGAAAGAGGGGACGCCACGAGCGAGCGGATGAGCGCCGTGCGTGTATGCACGAAGGAAGGATGCTTGGACCGAGTGGGGTAACGAGAAGGAGTCTGGGGTTACCGTCCGATAGAAACGGGATGGCGAGGCGGCGGATGGATTTTAGCGCCGACTCGACTCGAGTGAAGGGCAGCCGGAATTGGATGCCTCGATACGCGTGCTGCAGCCGCGTCGAATAAAGCAGAGCGCGACTCTGGCAAAGGATGCTGCTGCTGCTGCTGCTGCTGCGCTTGACCAGCCGCTCTTGTCCGGCTCAACAGCGCGATCTTGCGGGCCTGGCGTGGTCCTAGACGAGGCGATGGGTGTCCAAGGCTGGTGCCGACGATGACTGCGCGCGTCACACGGTAGAGAAGCAGTGTTGCAAAGGAGCGTCGGGGCGTCGGGAGCAGTTCAGGGTGCAATTCGTAGTGGAGAAGGTGAAGGGGTGAGATTGAGTCGGGCGAAAGAAACTGCCATCCATCCGTTTTTCGCTCCCCTGCTCGATCACCGGCCGAATGAAGGAGTATTTTCTGGTCAGCATGTCAGATCGTTGCCCCTCCAGCCCTGAGGAACCGGCTCGCTCGAGCGCCGACTTCCGACGCTTGCGTCAATCGATGTCAAGCCGAACGGAAGAGCCAAACTCAAGTCAGTCGCAGAGTCGGTCACGGCTGCTTACACTTCTTGGCTAAGAGGAACGCGTCCAGCAGAGCAAGCACGCCTCACGCTGCACGCTTCACGCAGCCAGCCAGCCAGCCAGGCAGCCAGGCACGCACTCCAACAGCAAGCGGACCACGAGTGCCGGCTTTGCAGCGTCATACTTGAGAAGCACACAGCTCGCGGCAGTCGGCTTTGACAAAAAGTCAGCAGCGCCTGGGTGTCACTTTGTCTTTTGCACCTTGCAGCCGAGCTTCGAACCTTTGCTCGATTCGCTTCACGATCCATCTCGTGAGCTAGAGCTTCCCCACTCTTACTTTGGGACCCACTCTCCATCCTCAGCATCAGCATCTTCGGACATACCCTATATCATCCCCACCGCCATCTCCGCCACCACCCCAACGAACCACCTCCTCCTCCTCCAACGTCGGCGTCCTTGCTGAGCATTCAGCCGCTCCTTCTCGAACCAAGCAAGCTCGCTAGATTCGTCTTCCACAATGGGCGTCGAATCCGTGCCCCTCGAGCACTCGCCAGCAGCGGCTTCCGCCCTCAACGACTACTTGCACGCCGTGTCCAGCCTCGCCTCCAAGTACTTTGACAAGATCCCCGGGAGTGCCATCGTGGCACGATACGTGGCGAGCAGCTACCAGAACGACCCCATCCGCTCCCTCCTCGAGCTCTTCCTCGTCCTCTTCGCCCTCAGGACCGTGCTCCAGAGCAGAACACGCGGCGGCGCCAGCGGAAGGAACTTTGTCAACCTCTCGGGCAAGGAGATCGACGACCTCGTTGCAGAGTTCAAGCCCGAACCCCTCTGCGCGCCCCTCACACCAGCCGAGTCGCGAGAGCTCGCCTCCATCCCCACCATCGTCGGCGGCGCAAGCAGCAAACCCAAGATCAGCATCGCTTCCCACAACGCCGGAAAGCCCACCCAGGTCGTCAACCTCGCCAGCTACAACTTCACCAACCTCGCCGGCCACGATGCCGTAAAGGAAAAGGCCATCGAGACGCTCCGAAACTACGGCGTCGGAAGTTGCTCTCCACCCGGCTTCTACGGCACCATCGACGTCCACATGCAGCTCGAATCCGACATTGCTCGCTTCCTCGGCACCCAGAACTGCATCATCTACAGTCAGGGCTTCAGCACCATCTCCTCCGTCATCCCCGCCTTCTCCAAGCGAGGCGACATTATCGTCGCAGACCGCGGCGTCAACTACGCCATCCAGAAGGGCATCCAGATCTCGCGCTCCACTGTCTACTGGTACGATCACAACGACATTGACTCGCTCCAGGCCGTCCTCGAGCAGGTCAAGCGCGACACAAAGCGCAGGAACGGCCCGCTCACCCGTCGCTTCATCGTCACTGAGGGCGTCTTTGAGGCCGACGGCGCGCTCTCCGACCTGCCCAAGATCCAGGAGCTCAAGAAGCGCCACAAGTTCCGCCTCATCCTCGACGAGAGCATCAGCTTCGGCACCGTCGGCGCAACCGGCCGTGGCCTCACCGAGCTCTACAACATCCCTGCCTCCGACGTCGAGATCCTCGTCGGTTCCATGGCCAACACGCTCGGTGCCGCCGGTGGCTTCTGCGCTGGCTCCGACGAGGTTGTCTACCACCAGCGCATCAACGGCACCTCGTTTGTCTTTTCCGCCGCCCTCCCCGCCATGCTCGCCGTCGCTGCCAGCACCGCCATCTCCTACATGGTCTCGCAACCCTCGATCCTCGGCACACTCCACGAAAATGTCAAGACGCTCCGCTCCGTTCTCGACCACGTCGAATCGCTCCGCATCTCGAGCGATCCGCGCAGTCCTCTCGTGCACCTCCAGATCCGCAGCAAGACCGATCGTCATCCCGACACCCCCTCGGACAAGTTTGACAAGGGCAAGAACAGTCTGGCCGTCGGCGATGTCAGCCTCACGCTCGCCAACAGCAACGACGAGAAGCGCATCGCGGCGGCCGGCCCCGCCGAGCACGATCTCACCGTCGACGAGCAGATGCGTCTGCTCCAGGCCATCGTCGACGATGCGCTCGAGCACGGCATCTTCATCACGCGCATGAAGAGGCTTCCCAGCATCAACCCAAAGGTGCTCGAAGTCGCACCCGAGTCCAGACCCAACATTCGCATCGCCGTCAGCGCCGCATTCACAAAGAAGGAGATGGACAAGGCCGCAAACGTCATCAAGGCGAGTGCCATCAAGGTACTCGGCAAGAGACGCTAGCTTGGTCCCCTGATTCTCGACACTGGTTTTGCGCATTCACCTCTTAATCAATGCTTTGGGCACGTCACATCTCGCTTGGAGTCTGTTCGTAGTGCAGGGTGACATTATGCATGTTGGTGACAAGCGACACGGAGGAGAGCGAAGTGCGGGGTGCGAGACAAATGAAGCAGGTGCGTGCCTCTCCGCGAGCAAATGCGACCAGATGAAATCGGAACGGAACGTGCACATCTAGCCCGACGACGAGTTCTTGATGGTCGCGAGGTCGATCCAAGGTGTCGAGCCACCAAAGACCTTGTGGATGGTGATCTTGGCAGCGGCCGTATCCGACAGAATCGTCTCGAGCGTTGTATCTCTCACCCTAGCATTTCCACCTGGACCCGAAGAGCCGTGTTCGGCAAACCTGGTGAGCTTGGGGGCGAAATTGGGCGTGGCTTGAGACCAGATCCTAAATCCTGCGTCTGCCACGATGTCCGACATGAATGTGTTGAGGTATACGGCGTGGCTGTAGACGTTCCAAGGTCTGCCGAGATGGCAACGCCCCACCATGGGTTTGGCTTTGGAGGCGTCGGGTGATTGTGCGATGATCGAATTGCTGATGTAGACGCCGACGAGAGGATCGGTGGGATCGCCACGCCATGCAGTGATTCCACCCCCGCACGCGCGAGAGAGAAGCTTGCACTTTTCAAACCACGCCTTGCCAGACCCGTACAGCTGGTCCGTCATGCCTTTGACGATCGACTTGAAGAAAAACGCCTGCGAATCAGCGCCTACATAGATCGTATCTTGGTAGCTCGAAAATCTGCGACCCCAAACGTCAGTTTCGATACAATCGTCAAGGAGAAGAGGCAGGGGGAAGCTTACCCGCAGCCATAGAAGGAGGCATTGGAACTCTGCACGCACAACGCTGCAGCAGGTCCGAGCTGGTATTCGGTGACTTCTTGACCGTTGAAGAACTGACGCTGCGCAAAGTCGATGTTGTACGCCTTGAAGTTACTATTGCCGATCGCACCGCCGTTGCCGACACCCAGCACTGTGGCGTCGCAGTTGTGCAGCACGCTCGTCACATCGCTTTGGTTGACGTACGACGACTGCCATACCTGCACCCGATTCGAGTCGGCACTCGAGATGTCCGGCGTCACTCCCTGTATCTCACAAGATCTTCCGTCAGTTTAAGAATGCCTGTGCAAAGCTAGAAGAGCTTGGCTACTTACCAGCATAACGGTGGGACTGACACGAGTCACCACCACCTTTTCATGGTACTGCCCCTGGTCGATCAGCACAGTGCCTGTGTTACCGTTGTCGGGACTACAAAGCCTCTTTTCGTCAGTTAGATGTCGCTTCCGTTTGATCGCTGTCGCCACGCGTATCTGCGCCAGACTCACAGAGCACTAAGAGCCGCACTGATGGTCCTGAACATGGCTGCTGGATGCGTCTTGCTCACAAAAATCGTGCCGCTGGGGCAGCCCGCAAGGGGATTGCCGCTGCCGATCTTGGGTGCTTGGCACTGAGCGAAATGTGTGGTGCGACGAGGGCCGAGCTTTGTCGAGTAGAACACGGGCGAAGCCTCGCACACCGCTGCAAGCATGGCCAACACAAGGCAGACACCTGCGGAGAAGGAAGGTCGCAGCATTTCCGGACTTGTAGGGAAGGAAGATAAGGGGAGAGGGGAGGGAAGGGGGAGGGTGGGGTGGAGGGGGAAGGGTGATCTCGGGGGGGATGAGGTGAGGATCCGAGATGCCGACCGGTGCTTAGCAGAGGAGCTTTATACGGAATGGGCGGCGCATCTGACAGGCTGTTGGATATTTTCACCACTTCTCGGGAACCTGTCAACAGGTGCGATGGTTAGACTCGATGAAGTGGGATGGAACAAGGTCCGAGACGGATGCGCCGCTCATATGAAGTTGGGTGGCGTTAAAAAAAGAGCCCGAGCCCACGCGCTCGCACGCCTGCCGCCCACGGCGTGCTTTCAGCGCATTCTCAGTTCACATTTAACTTAGCTCGTGGCACAGCGCCGTGTGGATCCGTGCCCACACCCACGGCAGCTCCGCCCTGCATCCAGTGGAGAGCTGCAGGATCTCCACTAATGCAAGCCTTGTGGGATAGGAGGCACAATCGGTTTGAAAAGCGGCTAAACTAGCGTACAAGCACCGCATCGCAAATCTCACATCTCGGTCACAAAGGGGTGGGGCTAGAGGCATCAGGATCACGCAACAGTCACAGTGATACCGTGCTAGATGGCTCTCAGCCTTCAAAGTCAGTGCGGCCTCGTTCGACGGCATCGCGCACCGAAGAGGGGATGTCGTGGTCGCCCGAAAGTAAGTCGAGCATCAGGCCGTCCGCCTGCCCCTTGGGAAGCTGGGCAACCTCGAGAAGCGTCGCTGCCACATCCTCTCGCGGGATCTGTTCCAGCGGGACCGACGCCGATTAGAGAATAATGTTCAGCTTGTCAGTCTGTCGTCTTATGGTTCCAAGTAGTGTGTGAACCAAAATTGGCGGCTGCCAGCTGTGCTTGACTTACAGAGTGGACGAGGCTCTGGTGGATGCCGAGAGCGACTTTGCCAGTGCCTGGCTCGTCGAGGAGCCCACCCGGACGGAGGACAAACCAGGGAAAAGAGGTTCGGCCCGACAAGTTCTTGTCGGCGGCGTCTGCAAGATGCCGGTGTTCAGCAGAGGGAAGAGTTGGATCAGCAGCAGATCTGCTTGACTGCCTTTGTTGTATCGAGCCACATACACTTAGCCTGAGTCGATTGCAACAGCAACGATCACAAGTTGGAGCAGATAGGACCAAGAGGGTTGGTCGGAGCAAGTGTCACGGTCAGCGAAATGGGTCAGGAGCCGCTTTCGATCTCGTGATGATCTGACTCACATCCATGTAGGCGCCGATGGCGTTGCGGGTCTTTTCCGAGCGTTCGAGGCTGAGGACAGGGCATGAGTGAGAGGCAGAGAGACATGACATCAGTTTAAGCAGAGATAATGAGTGACAAGACCCACACTCAGGGCAGCACGATACTCACTCTGGCTTCTGGTACCACGAAGGAGGCGGCTTGTTCTTGTCGCGCACGTCGACCGCCGAAACAAGGAGGAAGCGGCGGAAGTGCTCCGCCTTGGCGATGCCGCTCTGTTCGATAGCGTCAAACACCTTGATGGCACCATGCTCGTCCACGGCCTTTGTACGTTCTGGCCCGCCCTTTCCACCTGCTCCAGCAGCAAAGAGGATGACGCTGGGCGCGTACTTGGCGAAGAGCGACGCAATGTCGGCGACCGACGACTGCTCGAGCGATGCAATGACGGGCTCGACCGTGCCAGACGAGCCCTTGGGCAGGTCGTCCGCGTGTTCGGGCTGGCGGATCAGGCTGAAAATCTTGTGTCCGCGCGCCGCCGCCTGGCGTGTGAACGAGAGTGCCACCTTGCCGTGGCCTCCGACGATGAAGATCGAGAGCGGATTGCTGGTCATTTGCAAATAGATTGGTCGAGGGTAAAGATGGAGGTTGTGCGGCGAGCCAGCAAAGTAGCGTGAGCAGACGATCCTCTTTAGACTTGGACACGAAGGCTGTGGCCGAGCATGACGTTCTCGCCGTTGCGCATTCCGTGCTTGCCATGTGTGCGGGGGGAGCGGAGACAAGCTCCTTAGCTCCGCAGCCTCCACATGCAGGGCCCCGAGAAAGTCGCCGGCAGCAGCTGGATGGACGCCCGATTGTGTTGGTCTCCCGCTCTCCGATTCCGATTCTGTGGAAGCTTTGAGCGCGTGCCTGCGTGGGGGCGGGCGCATGGGCCTAGTTTGAGAAGCTCGCCCAGTTGGCTCAGCCTCATCCTTCATTATTCACTCCCTCCACGCATAGTCGCATCCCTTCCACTCTGCAATCACACGACAACGGCTTAGGCTGCCCACCTGCCTGTTGAAGGACCGCATAGTATGCGATTCACCGTTTGAATCTCACGGCGGGGACACTCGACACGCCAAATCGAGAGGCTCAAGAGGACATCGCAGAATCCGAATCTGCCTCGCATTCACCGACGCCGACTAGCTAGAATCGGCAGAGCTGACGTCTGGGCGAAGCCAAAGCTCCAGCGACAGCATCTATCTCCCGCTTTAGCTGCTTGTTGCTTCGGTCATCATGGCGTCCAGATCGCAGTCAGCCGCGCCCGAGCCGTCTCCAAAGCCGGCCAAGCCAGCGCCAAGGTCGGTCGCTGCTCCAAAGACCAAGACCTCGCTATCTGCCACCCAGGCGGCGAATCCATCAAGAGCGAGCTCGTCAGACTCACCGCTCCGCAGAGCGCAGGCCTCGGGCGCTTCCACCGCTAGCGCGGCAGCGCGCAAAGTGCCGAACATGGCATCAACATCTCGAACGGATCCGGCGCCGAGCACACAGCTTCCACAGACGGCGACCGCCAATGGCACCAATGCGCAAGCATCGACAAGCGCATCGCAGTCGTATCAAGATGAAAGCACCAGCACGGACGATCAACCAAGCCTCGTCAGTCGCATCGGTTTCGAGCCACGCTCCATCTCCGGCCTACCAGATCCTTCCATGCGGACGAACGAAGCCATCGTTTGGCTTGACATCGACAACACTCTGTACAAGCGCAGCACCAGGATCGCAGAGCTCATGGCCGAGCGCATCCGAGCCTACTTCCACGGCATGGGACTCAGCGAAGACGAAGCAAAGTCGCTCCACTCCACCTACTACAAGACCTACGGCCTTGCCATCCGTGGTCTCGTCAAGCATCACCAAATAGACCCTCTCGACTACGACCGCAAGTGTGATGCCAGCCTGCCCCTCGAGGACATCTTGCGCCCCGACGCTCAGATCAAGCAGCTACTCTCCGACTTGGATCGCACCCGCGTGCGTGTCTTTGCTCTCACCAACGCCTACAAGTATCATGCAGACAGGGTGCTCCGCCTGCTCGACCTCGAGGACCAGGTCGAGGGCATCGTCTACTGCGACTACGCCACACCCGACTTTGCTTGCAAGCCCGAGCTCGACTACTACCGTGCAGCTCTGCTCGTCGTCGGCGCCTCGCCAAAAACCCGCAACTACTTTGTCGACGACAGCTCACTCAACGTCGTGGCCGCCAAGGAACTCGGCTGGCATTCTTGCATCTACTTTCGCGAAGAAGACGATCCTCTGCCACCGCCTGCCGCCGTCAATGGTGCTGACAAGGAGGCTGCGGCTTCTTTTGATGCTACCGCCCTCGTGCCTCGGAATCATACGACAGCTTCCGGAGCAAAAGCCACGAGCGCCTTCGACGAGGAGGCGATTCGTCGCGAGTTCCAAAAGCTCCCCTCCCACCTGCGCATCCAGCTGCTCGGCATCATCCTCAACGCATGCTTACCCGGCGACATTGCTACCATGTCCAAGACGCTCGAAAAGCATCTGCGTATGACTCGCGATGTCGTCAGCGGGCTTCCCGACTCTGTCGCCCTCAAGATCTTTGAAAAGCTTCCGATCCAGGACCTGCTCCGATGTCGTCATGTCTCCAAGAAGTGGCACTCGCTCGCCGCCACGCCCGAACTCTGGAGGTCGCACGCACTAGCACTCACCGAGGCAGACCCAGTGAAAGTCTCGCCCCCCTCGGAACCGCAAGGCTGGGAGCCGTTGGTCAAGAATCTCTTCTTCCGCGAGCGCAACTGGGCGAAAGGCCTGGCTCAAAGCATTCAGACGCTAGAGGGACATACCGGCTTCGTCACTGCGATGAAGCTCAAGGGACGCAAGACGCTTGTCTCGGGAAGCTACGACGAGACCATCCGGGTCTGGGACATTTCAACCGGCCTCTGTCGAAAGGTGCTTCGCGCCAAGGCCATCGCATGCCTCGACTTTCTGCTCGACGAAGGCGTGCTGTGCGCCGGATTGTACGACACCGGCCGCGTGCTCGTCTGGGACATGAAGAGCTGGGAGGTCATCCAGACGCTCTCCGGGCACAACCGCGGCATCCGCAATGTGGCGATCAACGAACAGTACTTGGTCAGCGTTGGTCAGGACAAGGCCATCGTCGTGTGGGACTGGAGGACCGGCGCCAAGCTCGTCCGCTTTGGTCAGCAGAGCAACGTCTCGCTCGGCGTGTCGCTGGTGGACCAGGACAAGCTCGTGGCGGTCACGGTGGACGGAATGATTCGCTGCTTCAGCATTCCACGCCGCGAGATGATCGGCCAGTTCCAGCTGACCAAGCTCGGCGGAGCTGATCTTGGACTCGGTGCGCGTCTCGGCGACCTTGCAAGTGGATCTTCGATGCTCGAATGGTTCGCTGCGCATGGAAACACGCTCACTGTGGCGTCCAAGAATGTCGTCGTCCATCTCGAGTGGCGCGAGCACGTGGTGCCGGCAAGAAGCACGCAGGCTCCCCTCACAGCCGAAAGCCTGCGTCAGAGCGCATCGTCGCGGCTCAGCAACGCTGGCAGCATGGTGGGACCCGGATTAAGCCCTCTTCGAACGCGTCGCGACTCGAGCATGAGTAACGCCAGCAGCGCCGCAGTCTCGCCTCTCGCCAGCACGGCCGCCAGATCGCGTCGGGACTCGAACACCAGCGTCACGTCGTCGGCCAGTGGCATGGACGCCGCCAGGTCGCCGCGTCGCTCGATCAATGGATCGGCAGCGAACCGGCCATCTGTGCGCACGCCGCGATCGTCGCTGGCTCCGAGCTCGACCAACGACTCGCCTGCCTCGCAAGGGCTTTCGACGCCCTCGCGACCCAGGCCGAGCCCTACGACGCGCAGGGTGGGCGGCCCAGCACCGTGGCCGCTCGCGACTGCAGCGACGGAATCCGCAGGACGAAACTCGGGCACATCGACTCCGGGCAGGATGGGCAAGTCCGCCTCGGAAGTGTCGCTGAACTTTCCTACTACGCCCACGAGAGACGCTCCTGATGCAGGCGCCGAAGGCACCGACATCGCGAATGGCGCTGCGAGCGGAAACGCCTCGCCGGCCGAGGGAAGCGGTGGCAGTGCTACTCGCATCGCGCCCAACCTGTCGCTTCCACCCAAAGTGGTTTCTGTGCTCGAGACGCCGGACGTGGCGGTGGGATGCGTTGATCCTACTAAGCGACGCATCGTGGCATCCACACGATTCAGCAGCCGTGCTGGAGCAGAGCGACGGATCTATGCTAGCAGTTTGCCGTTCGACCATGGCAAGACGGCGACGCAGCTTGAAGCGACTGCTGGCGCGGTTGAGAGTGTAGATCAGGGCGCAGAGGCGCCTAAGACAGCTTCCACGCCGGAAGGGCCGCAGTCGACTTCGCACGCAGATACCTCTCCGACGGACGCGGCGGAACTGGTGGCGCCGATCCGCGGTGCCTGGGAAGCGCAGGCGGGGGCATTGGCGACGCCGGCGCGCAATCCGATGGCGATGGAGCTGGACCACGAGAGCGTCGTGGTCGGGTGTGCCGACGGCCTCATCTACCGCATCCACTTTGTCGGCTCCGAGTACGGTCCCGAGACACTTCTCGATGCGGCCGCTTCGAGCGATGGCGCCAATGGGCCCGGAGCAGGCGGCGCTCCCGGCGTGGGCGACGCCACCATCACGGATCTCTTGCAGCTCCGCGACGTGTGGAAGGAGATCATGGTCCCTGCCAGCGAGCCTGACCATCCGGGCCGACTGCGAGTCGATCGGCTCAAAGCTATGGGACTCAAGTGATTGGCTTCGTCGCCGCATCTATTGTCACAGCAAACCCTCGCTGTCACCGATGTGTCGGCCGAGGCGGCAGCATAACCCTCAGATCCCCGATTGCTGCGAAATACAGATGGAGGATGTGACCGTCTTAACAGAGTGAACTATTGGCCCGGGCAGCGCGACTTTGAGTCCAGGTGGGGCCCGACTGTGGCTGGCGGTTGGAATCGATCGGATCCCACCAGCCAAAGATAGAACTGGCGCGTTTTCTGATATTTTCCCTCAAAAAGCAGGGCTGAAAAAGGGGGCGGGAAAAGAGGAGGCAGGCGGGGTGAGGCCGTCTCACATGTGAGCAGGAAGAAATCATGGACGTGCATGCAAGTTGGAGCGCGGGCCAACTGGGAGATGCAGAAGGCGCTTGGCCACGGCCGCGTGAGAGTGAGCGTGGAAACATCCAAGCTTGCCTTTTTTTCTCGCTGAAAGCCGATCGTCGACTCAGCCAGCGGTGGCTGTCCGCTCTGACGCTGCCTCGCATGCCGCCTCTTCGCTCACCAAGACGCCATCTTGCGGTCCAGTCAACCCATCTGCTGCTGCTGCCGCTTGCTGGTCCATGCGCAACCCGCAATCTCCGCCACCTGCGTTCTCAACGCTCCACCATATCTTTTCAGCGTCAAAGTGGCGTCTGAAGGAAATGGTGGGCTTGACTTGCGCGTATCGGCGGGCACGAGCATTGTTGGCGGAGACTCGTCGTCGGCTGTGAGCATCTGTGAATGGGTGAGGGCCCGTGTGTTGCATCTGCACGAAAGTTCGGACTGCACCTCCGATTTTGCAGGCGCGGGCAGGCTGTGCGCCTCGCTGCTGCTGCGCCTGGCTGCTGCTTCCCTCGCTTGTGGAATCTCTGATTTCAGTGGCCGCGACGTCAGCCGCCTCGGCCAGCCATGCCAGACCGCCCGTCAGCCAGCCAGGCGGCCAGCCAGCCAGTGGACCAGTCAACCAGTCAACCCGCGCGCTCGCCTGCCACCCGCAGTCAGAGATGAGTGGCTTCGACTGTCGTCAGAGTGAGGCCGTCCAGTCGCTCGCTCAATCTTCCCTGACGCCTGTCGATGGCTTGACCGTTCAGCCGCCCGCCGCACAGATCCGTCATCGGCTCACGCTCACACCAGCCAAACCATCTTCTTTTCCATCACCACCTCCGTCTATCCACATCGTCCTCGACCTCAACGTCGCTGCCATCGCATCTCGAACTACCCGTTCATCCGCACCATCCACCTCTACCAACCCCTTCGAGTTTAACACTCCGCAGAAAATCAGTCAACATGGCCGCCCAAGCTCAGCAGGTCCAGCAGAAGGTCGAATACTTTGTCGCCCAGGTTCGTTGCTCTTGTCCAGGCTACGGCGCTCTCACGCCATCTTGATCGACGCTGCTGATACTGACGATTTCGCTGCTTACAAACTCACACCGTACCGGTCTCTCTCCCATCGAATTTGGGCCTTATCGCTCCTATCTGCGCTCATCCGATCGACCCTTTCTGATGCACCGATCTCTCGGCTCGCCCCATACCATCAACGCTGCACCTGAACCGGACCCTTATGGATAACTATGTGCTGTCATGACAACAGATCGACAAGGAGGTAAGTTGAGCGCCGACTCGGGATGGAACGCAGGCATCGTCCTCTTCTTCTCTACGAAGACCGCATTGGCCATCGTTATCTGACCATTCTTGATCATCTGCGCTCCTACAACAGCTCTCCAGGTATCCCGCCTTGAAGAAGTTCGAGCAGACCGTTCCCATTCCTAAGGCTTACGCCGCTCTTGGTGCTTTCGGTATCTTCACCCTCGTAAGTAGACAATTATTCCCTCTCCACGCCTCGGCATCGGCACGAGCAAGGCGTGCTTTTTCGTGCTGCCGGCAGCGTCCCATTTCAGCCAGGAAGAAGTCGTCGTGCGCCCCTCGGCTGAGAGCAGCGCTCAGCTTCGACGGGGTTCCCGCTACGGATCGCGCATTTCTCGCAGTGCTGTTGTCAGACGGCAAAGAGAAAATCCCGACCAGGAAAGGACAATTCGCTGATCATCTCCACTCCCGGCACCGCTTGCACTCGTCTCTCCTTAACAGTTCGTCTTCTTCAACATGTAAGTCTTACTGCCAAGCAACAGGCTGCAGCTTCGCATCGAATCGTCGAGCTGCAGCAGCTCGGCTCGCCGAGTCGCGAGCGCCTCCATATCTACGAAACGGCCGCTGACACGCACCTTTCCTGTCTCTCCGTCTCGGCACGATCGAATCTCTTTCATCCGCGCTTGCCATCGACAGTGCCGCCGGCTTCCTCACCAACCTCCTCGGCTTCTTCGTTCCCGCCTACTTCTCGCTCAAGGCGCTCGAGAGCCCCCAGCCCGAGGACGACGTCCAGTGGCTCACCTACTGGGTGGTCTTCGGCATGTTCACCTTCCTCGAGACCTTCTCCAGCATCGTCCTCTACTACGTCCCCTGGTACTACACCATCAAGACGCTCGCCATTGTGTGGCTCATGCTGCCCCAGACCCAGGGCGCCAAGATGGTCTACAGCAAGGTCATCCGCCCTGCATTCCTCACCACCCAGAAGACCGTCCACAAGGCCAACGCCAGCACCCCTGCCGCTCCCGCCGAGACCCACTAAGCTCGCTCGCCGTCACACTGGCCGGGCCCCATTGCGCAGCAATAGCCGCACGGCAGCGCGCACCGAGGCTGCAGCTGGCTGCCTCGTAGCCTGACGTGTCTATGGCGCCACCTGCCCGCTTGCTCGCCCGCGCACACGCCAAGCTAGCCCGCAACGGAGATACTCACATCAACGGTCCAGCCGATACAGCGTCGCAGTGGAGTGCGGTCTGTCGTTGCTGCTCCTACGCTTAGGATCCGACAGATCGTGTCCTCAACTGCTCGCGCCCGCTTCAAAATCCGTCCCCTTACCACATACCGCCACTTTTGTCCACCTATCTTCGCCTTGAGGCGTCCGGCCTGAAGCTTAGCTTTGGTCGAATTCGTCTCTAGCATCCTCCCATCCTACCTCTCCGTGTACCGCGTCCTCGTAGTGCACGCTCATGACATGACAGCTCGCTGGATACGATGTTGGTCTGCGTGTGCTTGTTGCAGCCCCGGCCGGATCAATCGGCGTGCGGATCTAGTTCCAAATGTGTTCTTCGATTTTTGATTTGTTAGAGTGAGGCTTGGCGAACAGATTTCAGCAAAAAATAAGGCGCGTCACCCGCTCACGTCGCGTCTGTTTGGCGGCAGACAAAAGCAAGCAGGAGGAGACGGTGTGGAGAGAAGGCAGCTTGATGTGTTGGTCTGTACCAAAATTCAAGGCAGTGCTCCTGGACGCACGTGTCGGCCATCCACTTTCATCTCCTCCATCCACCACAGCAACACCTTCGCCGTCCACACCTCCCGGAACGCAGCACGCACCGACTCACAGCACCGCGATTGCTGCGCGCTTCCTCGTGTCATCTCGATGCTGTTGGACGCGTGAGCCACGTGGATAGCCGACATCAATCCAGCACACGAACCTCGCCCACGCACGGATAGCTCGCCAACACAGCATGCCGGCTCGCATTGCGTCTACTGATGGCGCTGCCGTCGCGGCGGATCGTCTGATCTTGCAACTATCCAGAGGACTGTCGGCACCGTCTGCAGCCGCAGACACTGCCGATAGCCTCTCTTCTGCACTCCAGAGTCTGCAGCGCCACGCCCGCTCGTTTGGCTTCTCGTCTCAGCAATGCGACCAGCTCGTTCGCCTCGCCCTTATCGGTCGACTTCGTCTCAGCACCGCAGGGAGCAGTGCCAAGCACAAAGCGCCCAAGACGTCAGTGTCTCTCGCCATCCTCAGGAGTGTCATCCCCAGGCCGCGCGCGAAGCTCGGACGACAGGCGGTCTTGGACATTGTCGCCGCGCTGGGCCCTTCGCCGGGAACGGACATGATCAAGCTCTCGGGATTGCAGAAGGACGACACCGAGTCGAGTCTCGGGCCGGAGAGAGTCAAGGTGGACAGCAAGGTGCAGGTTGCCGCACTGAAGCTCCTGTGCGTCGCGCTCGACTCGCCCTCGGTGCCCTTGTCGGTAGCAGCAAGCTTCTACACAGACAGCAACAGCGATTCGGCACCGACATCGCGCCGCGAGAGAGACCAGGACGGGCGCGAGCTCGAACGTCTGCAACGCCATGCGGCACAGTACTCGGGCCTGTCGGGCAACCTGCCCAGCACCTATCTCACCGCGCTCGCACGAACGACGCTCGAAAAGTGCTACGCGACGCTCTTCCACTTCATCGAGTATCAAGCGCTGCGCCCGCATCTTTGCTATCTGCTTTGCCGCATCACAAAGCGCAAGCACGTGCGACACTACAGAATCACCAAGCTCATGGCCCTGCGCGCCAATGCGGCGCCCGAGCTCGGCATCTCGGCGCTCCTGTCTACGTACGCCAACTTTTATCCGGACCTGCTCTTCCCAGAGCTCCTCGGAGGCGGCGGGGCAAGCTCTGCGGCTGGGGCTGGCCCGGTCGGGCTCAAGTATCCCGAACCTGACTGGATTGCTGCCGTCCTGCTGGCACACGCCCGGTGTGCGCGCAGGAGCGCAGGGGAGGCGGTCGAGTCCGACGACGAGGCCGAGAACGACTCAGAGTCGGCACCAGGCGGAACGCAACGAGCCGCCAAGAAGCAGCGTCTCTCGGCCAAGAATGTCAAGGATGGCGGAGCAGATGAAAACGCTGCGTCGGTCCTGGGTGTCGTATCTGCTTCGATCCCGATTCCCAATCTGGTAACGATCCAGCCGCTCAATTCCGCGCAAAAGGCATTTGGAACGCAGCCCTCGCTGGTCACGGAGCTCTCGTCGCTGCGCCACCTTGCCCATAGCTTGGACCGTCTGGTGCTGCCCTCGCAGGCAGCGGCGATGCTCGGCACTGCCTTTGGCGCTCGCATGATGCGCGTAGCCGTGCTTGCTGGCGCCACCATTACAAACGAGGAGTCGCTCAGCCAGGCTGCGCCCGCAGGACGCCGCGGCCAGCAGACGGAGCACGATGCCTGCTGGATGCGTCTGTCAGACTGGCTCGAGAGCGTGCTCGGCGACGAGATCGGCGTGCAGAGCAGCGCGGCGTCGGCTTCGCAGCGCCAGCAACTCAAATTGCCGTCGACGGATGCCGAGTTCAAGCGGCTGGCTTCGCTGCTGCGTCGCGCGCGGCTCATGTTTGAGCTCGCCGAGCAGATGCCTGCCAAGCTCGAGGGGCTCATGTCCAGCGTGCTCTTGGCGATTGCCCGTGTCGCCGAGCCCGGAAGAGATGATGGCGATGCGTGGACAGAACGGTGGGACGAGCTGACGCGAGAGGTGCTTGCGTTTGTGCCGCTCGTAATGCCTTCGGACCTGTCCTCGTTTGAGGATCGCTTCATGACGCCGCTCGAAGCGCTGGCGCGGTCGACGCGCGTCTCGCTCGACACTTCGGCCGCGGTGCTTCTCGCCATCAACGGTCTGCTCACCAACTGGGCGGTGCGTGACTGGCGCGAGATTGGCACGCGTCTCGATTCCCGCAAGTCCTAGTAAGTGGCTCCCATCCCATCTGAACTTGCTGGTCTTTAGAAAGTTGATAGCTGACGCTCCGCTCTGACCGCTTTTGATCTTGTGCAGCCGATGGGGAATCTCGAATCTGGATCCGTCGGTCGACTTTGGCGAGCTGATCGCAGCCACAAGCGCACGCGCCGACAGGCTGGCAGCGACGCTGGTGGGCCTGTATCCGCGCCATGTTGCGATGGAACATGCAGTGTTGTCGCTGTACGAGGGCCTCGCACGCCACCTGGCTGGCATGGGGACAGTCGCGAGCGTACCGGCTCTGCCGCTGTATGCGTTCACGCTGCACGCCACGACAATCGTGTCGGTCTCGCGCCTGTGCGGTCTGATCCAGGATCTGCGCCACGCCTTCGAGCATCACAACGCAGTAGGTCCAAAGCTGCCGGCAGTGGACGGTGGTCTGGAAAGCAAGTTCTACGACCTGTCTGCGAGCTTCTTCGAGGAGGAGAACTTGAGCATCTTGAACAGCAGAGTCACGCTCGTCGCCAACCTCGTCTGGCTCGGCAAGATCGTCACCGAAGAAGAGGCGGTAGGAAGCCTGCCACCTGGACTCGAACAGTAAGTAGCCTTCCGATCGCCTGGCGTTGCATCTTGGCTCGTGCTGCAATGTGGTCGGCGTGCTGACAAGTCTCGCCTTTACTCGCCCCTTTTTTCCGTCCAGATCTGTCCTCAACGAGCTTACGCAGCGGGGCGAAGATCTCAACCTGAAGCTGGCCACGCTCTCCAACACGCCCTTCTCGCGAGCGATGAGCCATCTCTCGGAGCGCTTCGCCAACGTTTACTGCGCAAGCCAGGGCAAGAAAGCCACGGCCGAGGACGAGTGGATTCGCGGGCCGATCACGCCCAAGACGATCAAGAGCGCAAAGAAGAACGGCATGCCCGCCGCATGGACGCACACCGACTTCCGCGCGTACCTGCTCGACTGGCTTGACACCCAGGGCGCACACGGCATGTACGAGCTGCTCAAAAACATCCTCGTCACCTTCGGCAGCCAGCTCAAGTCGATCCGTGGCGAAGCTGCAGCGGCGGCGCAGTGAGTCGTGAAGATATCCTTCTCGTCAATACCATATTGTTTCTCGCTCGTTGCATGGATAAGGCGGTGGCCATCAAGGCCCTTCGTCTGACTCTTGACTGTGCTCAGCGTTGATGTGAGGGTGGAAAGGCATTAGGAAGGGGTGCGGATAGCTGTGTGGGAATGGACTGCACGGGCAACTCCACTTGCGAAATTGGAGCTGCGCGGCAAAGTCGCGGTCTTCTGAGCGCGTTCAGCCTTGAACCCTTGCGAGCATCCATCTCACTTGCTTCCTTGCGTCCATCGTCACCTACACGACCACGTCTCAGCCGGTGCCTCCCGACCCACAAAATGGATGTTTTCGGCGACTCGGATCTGTCCGACATCTCGGCACCACCAACGCCCGGCCCTGCCAGCACACCACGAGCTGTGTCACCAGAACCAGGGCCAGAGCCAGAGGCAGCTCAGCCACCGACCCCCGACGCTGCTGATGATGCGCCCAAGCCTGCGGGTCGTTCAGCCGCGCGGCGGCGCTCCTCGGCAAGAGTGACCGAGACTGCGGCAGAAACGCCTTCCAAGCCTTCTTCGTCTCGCAAACCTAAAGCTTCTACGAAAGCGTCCGAGTCCGCCGATCCCGCTGATGGAACGCAAGCACCGGCGACAGGCACGCCGAGCTTGAACCGCAAAGGATCGACTCGAAACCGCAAGGCTCCCGCCAAGCTGCGCTCGCCTTCGCCGCTGGCGGATCAGGCCGATAAGCCATCGCCCGCTGGGAGGGGGAAAAAGAAGGCAGATGTCGGGCCTGGCACGCCCAAGTCGGGCATCAAAGTCAAGCTGTCGGTCAAGAGGTCGAGTGCAGACGGGCGAGCTACGGGCGACAGCGGCTCTTCGAGCGCATCCACGCCGCAACCCACTGCCAGCGCCTCGGGGACCAAGGTTACCATCAAGGCACTTGGCAAGAACAGGTTTGCCGACGACCTCAGAGATTTGGCGGACGACGACGAAGAGGCTCCAGCTGGGTCTGCATCGGCAGAGGATGCTGCGCCAGGAGACAAACCAATGCCCGACGCGGAAGCCGCAGATGGCGACGGTCTTGGAGGCGCTAGACGTCGATCGACGGGCAAGCGGGGTCGGGACTATCGCAACAAGCCCACAGGGAGACGGCGTGCTGTCGTGGCAGACGACGAGGAGGACGATGAAGAGGGTGCTGGCAGGGGCGCTGAAGAGGCTCCGCAGAGGAAACGAGCCAAGCTTGGCGACAGCGCTGCCGACGGCGGGCGGGCGGATGCTCGACCGGCGCGCAACACCAGGAACACCATCGACTACAGTGACGACGACGACGAGGACGAAGAGATGGTCGATGCCGCCTCGGAAGAAGACGACCTGGAGCTCGATGCGGCCGCTGCCGCCGACAGCGAGGACGACTTTGAGCAGGATGGCGCGTCGAACCGCCGAGGAGCTGCCAAGTCCAAAACCGCCCGTGGCGCCAAACCTGGAGGTCGCAAATCAACAGCAGGAGCTAGCGGTAGCGCGGCCAAGGCCACATCGGCGAGCGGGGCGAAGAAAGCGGGCGCTGCAGCTGCGTCGGCGGCGGCAAACAAGGGCATGTCTGCGGAAGCGCGCATGCGCGCCTCGATCGATGCTGCCAAGGACAAGTCGCTCAAACCACCCGGTGCGTCGGTGGGCACCAAGCTGAATCCGCAAGCCAATGCGTTTCGACCCAGCGGCGCCGTCAAGTCTGGCACTTCGACGCCGACTGGCGCTGCAGGCGCCGCGGCGCCCAAGCGGTCTGCGTCGACAGGCAAGCCGGCGTTCGGCAAGAGCATGAGTGGATGGGACCAGCTGTTTGGCGGTATCTCTGGCCTGAGCTCGTCGGCAGCCACGCCGCCGAAAGCCACACCCACCAAGCCGGGCGCACCAAGCAAGCCCGCTACGCCGACGGCGGGCGTGTCGGGCTCGGGCATCCGTCAGGATCCAGTGCTCGAGGCCGCATCGCCCGCAGACGTACAGCGCCTCAAAAACCAGGCTACGCAGCAGTACCTGTGCACCGACGAGTGCTTTGACCTCCTCGCCCACGCCGACATCATGACCGCCTTCGAACGGTCCATCGGCATCGAGGACCGTAAGCTCGCTGCGCGCCTCAGGCCGTGTGTCTACAGAGCGGGGCAGGCGCTCCTTCCCAAGCTCCAGGCGACACAGCCAACTCAATCTGCTTCGCAAACCTAATGCAGACCTACTGACATAGCGAAATAAAGATTGCAGACAAAAATCCTTTGTACAAGCTCTAGCCGGTGTAGTCGTCGACCTGAACGGTCTGGTTGAGCGCCTCCTGCTGCGTCTTTGCCTTCTTGGCGTCCTCGTCGGCCTGTAGCTGGGTGGCGACCTGGTGTGCGGCTACTTCCTCGTCGTCGATGTTGGATCTGGGGCCCTGGAACCAGTTGACGCCGCCGTATTTGGGGAAGTAGTACCACGCCGAGCTAAAGACGAACGTGCCGACGGTCACGACGCACGCGTAGTTCATGTCGGCCGCAGCCTCGACGGGGATGTACGAGGGCAGACAGACGATGACGGTGATGAAGGTGAGCCAGGCGGCACTGATCCAGCCGACGATGTGCGACCAGAAGTCGCCGAGGTACCACACTCCGGGTTTGAACCTGTCCTTGGGTGCGATGAGGCGGGCGACGATCGGGATGGTGTAGGCGATGGATGCGCCGATGACCGAGAGCGAGAAGACAGCGCCTACGGCGACCGAGTTGACCAGACCCAGCAGACACAGAACCGCCGACACGGCGCTGGACCACCACGCGCTGTTGACCGGGGTGAGCGTGTAGCTGTTGATGCGGTACACCCATCCGCTGAACGGCAGCGCACCATCACGGCTGAACGCAAAGATCTGTCGCGACGAAGCAAGGTTCATGCTGGCGCCCATCATAAAGTTGACAATGATCATGAACACCCAGATGACCATGAAGCCCGTCTTGCCGACCGAGTTGAGGATGATCGTCGCCATGGGTTGGCCGTACTCCGAGTTGACGATGGGCTCGAGGTCGGTGCCCATGTTGAAGGCGAGGGCGACCATGATGCCAAAGCCGAGGATGCCGCTCGACACGATGCTGAAGAAGATGCCCATGGGCACGGCACGTGCGGCGTTGCTCGCCTCTTCCGAGATGTGCACGCACGAGTCGTAGCTCGCCACCGTCCAAGCGGGCGTCATGAACGCCAGCAGGAACGCGCCAAAGCTCGACCAGCCCGTCTCGTTGTACCAGCCGCCGAAGGCGTACGAGGCCGAGTTGCGGTACTCGGATGGCGTGGCTGTACCCAGCACGATGCAAATGGCCACGGCCAGACCAGCGCACAAGACGGTGGCAACCGTCTGGAATCTAGCCAGCGCACGCGTGCCGATCGACGTCAGGATCGCATGCATCAGCAGAATGGCACAATAGGTGCCGTAGGTCTGTGCGTCCGTGGGCACGTAGCGGCCATCGGTCATGACCGAAGCGGCGGCGAGGATCATGATGGCCACGCTCCAGTCGATACTTGCGACGGCTGAGGTGGTGGAGAGCGTGTTGGCGTAACCGACGGTCCAAGAGAGGAACCTTCGGTACCTCTGGCTCGACAGCGTGTAGGTCCAGTAGTACAGACCACCCGAGGTGGGCATCGAACTCGAGAGGTCGCCGAGAGCCAGACCGGTGATGGCGATGAAGAAGCAACCGACGAGCCAGCCCCAGACCATGCTGACGGGACCGCCGCTGGGGAGCGAGTAGATGAGCGTCGAGGCGATGGACGGCGCCACACCCATGATGGAGAAGGCGATGCCAAAGACTTCGAGGGACGAGAACTCTCGCTTGAACTCCTGCTTGTATCCGAGCGCGGCGAGGAGCTCGGCATCGGCCTGCTCGATAAAGTTCTTGGAGAGATGCATCTTACCAGGCCCCGTGCCGGCAGAGCCGTCGGCAGCGGAAGCGGTGGTGAGCGGAGCTACATGGTTGCCAGGGGTCGAGGCATGGATGATGTCGGACGACGAGCCCTTGGCATCGTTCGAGTACGAATCGACCTTGTCGGTGCTGACCATAGGAGCGATGAAGTGGATTTGGTTGAATTAGAAAACGGCTTGAGGTAGAGAAGGCTGTTCAAGAACCTTTGAAGGGCAGAGCGCGGGACGAGGGATGGTCCGCGAAGAGGATCCAGGCAAACGGAGACGTTTGCAAAGCTACGGTCATTCACTAAACGGAGCGAATGTCAAAGTGTTGAGAAGGGTAGTCAAGTTGACGACCGGTGTAGGGCAAGGGTCGAGATGGTGATTAGTTGTCTCGGCTGACTTGTAGACTTGCGGCAGGAGGCTCGGGAAGGGGAAACGTGTCCTCTGATGATGACGGAGCGAGGCGGACGAGGTGGAACGTGGCCGATTGGTGCGTATATGAGGACTGATGCAAAGAGTGGTACGACGAAGACCGAGACGATGTGCGTTGTATGAATCCAGGGCCCTAAGATACGAGGGCTTAGGGGACGAATGGACAACAAGGTATTGTGACGCAGCAAGTGGGCATGTGATGGGCGATAAGGAGGATGGATGCCGGAGTTGGGAGCGACCGGTGGATGTATCCCGCGAGTGAGCCTAGGCACACGAGAGCCGAGGGATTGGGACGATACGAGCGGGCGGAGGATGAAAAGCGGCAGGGTGGGCGCAGCCAGGCACACGGCAAGCGGAGCTCTGACCCGTTGCCGGACAGGGTGAGAGATGGCTTAACGAGGGCAAAGTGAGCAGCTATCGGCTGATGATGCAGGAGAAGATCCCAAGTCAACCCGAGTTCAGAGGCCGGCACAAGGGATGTTGTACTGGCAGGGGTACTTGGTCGCGGTGATATCGGGGAAAGCTGGATGCATGCAGGGCGAAGCGGCGGCAACGGTGTCAGAAGACGCTGCGTCGAAGGCTCAAGACGGGCGAGCTCCACCCCACACTGATAACGGCTCGAACCGCCGCTCAACACGATATGGATTCTGGTACCTTCTTGCTCAAAGGGCTTTGCCGGGTTGCAGCATCCCAAGTCACGCGCAAGTACAGCACGAAGAGCGACCGACGATATTGGCGAGCGTCGACCGGTGCACCGCTGCCATCGACCTGGAATGAGGAGCAGGGTCAGGTGGCATGGCGGAGACTTGATCGGAGGGAGGCACACGGTGCAGTGCAAATGCAAACGGCTTGACGAGGCCCGCTTGGATCAGGCAGGCGACCGGCAGCCGAGTGTGTATGGGCGTTGGCGAGGAGGCAGTCTTATCATCGCGGACCAGTTGCAAGAGGGCTCAGCGTTAGGCAGTAACCAATCAGGTGGGCTTTGGCAGAAGCGAATTGCAAAAAAGCGGGCATTTGGACGGAGGCCTGATAACGCTCGGAGTCTCGAGTGCAGCCGTGGCAGCTGTTTGGTGCGGGGTAAAGCGAGACTAGGCTCGCACATGGCCAACGATAAGGCAAAAATTGAGCGGTAGACACGCGGTCCGAGGAGGGCCAAAATGACTCGCCATCTGCAACCACGAAAGCTCGCATGAGCTGCAAGCTGTCGGAATTTTGACGCTGCTGTTGGGAGACTTGAGTGTCTTGACGAGACTACAAACGGAACTGCCAGAATGTATTCCGCCTTCGCTTGGCCCACAATACAAACGACAAGCGAGCTGGCCAGGGCTCGAGCTGGGATTTCTCGCCGCGCTTGCCGCCCCGACCCGCGCTAAGCGCCAGAACGAGCAGCCAAGCCCCCACCTCCAAGCCTTGGCCCTCGTTAAGCCCACGAAGGGTCCTACCTTCCAGGAAAGACACTTTGATGGCGAAAGATGTTTGCGACTAGGGAAGTCTTGTTGCGTAGACGCGGAGAGCATGCTGTTTGCTGCCGCCGTGTTTGACACCGCCTGACGTGACGGGTTGCGGTGGGACCTTGCAGCGATTCTAGGTGTCAATTCATCTTTGTGCAGCCGCACGGACGGCGACGGGTGCGGAGGTCGGCGGGACGCGGTTGCAGCGTTACGCTTTGACAGACCGCGCCACTGATGCGCGATGAAGTGGAATTGCAATATTCCGCTTGGCCGTGCCGACGCTTCGGAAAGTGCGGAAGGTAGTGTGGAAAGTAGTGCGGAAACTCGGCGGTGGTGCCGCGGAGCTTGTACAAAACCACACCAATAGAATGTCACTTGCGCAACTCGCTTCCCAACCACCTCCTTTCGCAGCATCAACGACTTGCATCTCCATCGCAAGACAAAGCAAGCATGAGCACATCAACTCAATCCAATTCGTCCGGCCGTGCGCCTGCACCGGTGACCATCTCGACCCCCACGGGCAACAAGTGGCAAGTGCCCTCGGGCATCTTCATCAACAACAGCTTCCACGCCTCGGTGTCGGGCAAGACGTTCGACTCTGTCAACCCGGCCACGGGCGAGAAGCTGTGCACGCTCGCGCTCGGCGGCGCTGCCGATATCGAGGCGGCAGTCAAGGCGGCGCGCACTGCGTTCGACACGGTGTGGGGCAAGCGCTCGACGCCGACGCAGCGCTCGCGTCTGCTGCTCAACTTTGCTGATCTGGTGGACAAGCATCTGGACGAGCTTTCCGAGCTCGAGAGCATGGACAACGGCAAGCCGGTGTGGATGGCGAGCGCCTTCGACGTGCCGGACTCGGCGGGCTGCCTGCGCTACTACGGCGGCCTGGCCGACAAGATCGAGGGCAAGACCATCGAGCAGACCGAGGGCGAAAAGATCGCCTACACGCGCATCGAGCCCCTCGGCATCTGCGGTCAGATCATTCCTTGGAACTACCCCATCCAGATGGCAGCCTGGAAGCTCGGCCCGGCGCTCGCTGCGGGCAACTGCGTCATCCTCAAGCCCGCAGAGCAGACGCCGCTCTCGGCGCTCAAGCTCGCCGAGCTCTCGGTCCAGGCGGGCTTCCCACCGGGAGTGATCTCGGTGGTCAACGGCTACGGCGCTGAGGTCGGCGAGGCGATCTCGACACACATGGACATTCAGAAGGTGGCCTTCACCGGCTCCACAGCCACGGGCAAGCGCATCATGAAGGCGGCGGCAGAGAGCAACATGAAGAAGGTGACGCTCGAGCTTGGCGGCAAGTCGCCCGTCGTGGTGTTCGAGAGTGCCGACATCGAGCAGGCGGTGAGGTGGGTGTGTCTCGGCATCCTCTTCAACCAGGGCCAGGACTGCACCGCCGGCTCGCGACTGTTCGTCCAGGACTCGATCTACGAGCAATTCATGCGCGAGCTCGTCGCCGCCTTCAAAGCGCACAAGGTCGGCGACCCGTTCCACGAGCTCACGTTCCAGGGCCCACAGGTCAGCAAGGTGCAGCAGCAAAAGATCCTCGACATGATCGAGTCCGGCAAGCGTCAAGGCGCCAAGGTCGAGGTGGGCGGCAAGGCGTGGCAGAGCCCCGATGCCAAGTTCCGCAACGGCTTCTTTGTCGAGCCCACCATCTTCTCTGGCTGCCGCAAGGGCATGCGTATCGTTGACGAGGAGATCTTTGGCCCTGTGCTGGCGGTGGCCAAGTTCAGCACCGAAGAAGAGGCCATCAAGCTTGCCAACGACACCGAGTACGGCCTCGGCGCCGGCGTCTTCTCTGAAAACGCAAGCCAGATCCAGCGCATGGTGTCAGCGATCGATGCTGGCACCTTGTGGATCAACAACTACACCGCCTTGAGCAACTCTGTACCATTCGGAGGCATGAAGGCGAGTGGATTCGGTCGGGAGCTGGGCGTAGACGCCGTCAAGGCCTACTGCGATGTCAAGGCGATCCACTGGAACTACGGCGAGAAGCTCGACTGGCCTCTGCCCAAGCTGTAAAGTTCGACGGCCCTTCTTCTTTCTTTGTCTCTCATTCGTGTGCAATCCAATCGTACCTGTCTACTCGAACCTCGTTCCACTTGTGACTTCGATCGAGCTTGTCCTTGAGCGGAGTGTTGCCCCCGGCGATACTCAGAAATAAATGTTTTCGTTTTAATCATTTTATTATTTTTTATTTGTCGTGGGCAGAGTGCGGACATTGAGCGGCTTATCTCTCGAGGTCAGCAGGGGTCAGCCAGCAGCTGTCAAAGTGCGGTGACTGAGCTCGGATGCCCACGGAGGCGGAGCTTGTGACCTCGTTAAGCACCCTTGCGGAGGAGGCCGTGTCGGCAGCGTCTCGACCGCGTGCCAAGGCGCTACGAGTCTCATTCGCCCGCCTCGTGCCTTGGTGCCTTGGTGCCTTGGTTGCATAGTGGGCAGCGCCAATTCCGCCCTGCCATCGTCGGCACTCTTTCTCCCGCGCAACAACCGTAGCTCTCCAGCGGTATCAGCCAGTCAGGCGGCACCTCCCCCACATCAGCACGAATCGAACTTAGCCTTGCGCTGCTCCTGCTGCCGCTACGTTGCATTACCCAATGAGGTCGCGACAACCAAGCTCCCCACTCTGCATTCCCGCTCGCACCTCAGGACCCTAGCAAAGCACCTCGTTAAGCCCCCCTCTGCCTCCCCCGGCTTATCCTCCGAGCACCTCGTCTAGACGGACTCCACCCTGACTTTTTTGGTCCAGCCCTACAGTCCGCCTAGACTCTCAGCATTCCGCCCAGCCTGGCGCACTTTCGACTGCCTCCTTGGCCCTGCTAGCCCTGCTAGTGATACCCGGCCAAATTGCCTCCCGACAGTAGCCGTGAGCCGCAGAAGTTGCTCTGCCTCCAGACGCTGCTATCGCTACCGCTGGGCTTTGCCAGTCACACGAGCTCGAGAGCAAGTGCTGTCCCCAGTATCATGTGCTGGACCGATACCGCCAAATGATATAATCCCTCATCCTGATTGCAACCCTCAACCCTGCTTCCTCTCTTTCCACAGACAAACAAGCCACTAGCTCGCACCACCACGTTCCATCCCTTAGCGTCTCAAGAGACGACACTACCTTAGTCGCTCACTTCCCTCGCTAGCGAATTTGCCTCATCCTTGCCTAGCCCCTACACGGCCTCTGTATGACAGCAGCCTCCCGTCCCGCTTAGCTATGATGTCTTCCACTCAGTCGCACTCCTTTAATCCCTCGGGTGCTACCCGCTCCGCTGGTCTCAACCTTGACCACCACCCCCTCGACCCGCTCTCCGCCCAGGAGATCGCCGCTGTCTCGCTCGTTGTGCGCAGCCACTTTGCCGCCCGCACCTCGGTCAAGGCCATCAAGTTCTGCAGCTCCATCCTCATCCCGCCCCCCAAGGCTGCCGTCCTCTACGCGCTCGGCCTCCCGCTCCCGCGCGACTCCAACCTCGACGACCGCAAGGCGCTCCAGCTCCTCAACCGCAGGGCTGAGGTCCAGCTGATCGACGTCGTCACTGGCGACACCTACGAGGTCAACGTCGCTCTCGCCAACGACCTCCCCCTCCCCGGCCGCGATGGCAAGTACGCCCCTTCCTCCGCAGACGCCCTCGGCAAGGTGGAGTCCATCAAGAAGCTTGACATCGGCCTGCAGCCAATTCTCACTCCCGAGGAGGTCAACGAGGCTGAGGAGATCCTCCGTGCCGACCCACGCATCGTCGCCATCGCCCGAGAGGTCGGCATCGAGCCCGAGAACCTCTGGGCAGACGGCTGGTCCATCGGCTACGATGACCGCTTCGACAAGAGCCTCCGCGTACAGCAGTGCCTCGTCTACGCCCGCAAGAGCGAGCACGAGAACCTCTACGCCCACCCCATGGACTTCTACCCCGTCATCGACTGCAACGCCGGCAAGGTCATCGCCATCGACTTCCCCGGTCACCGCGACCCAGTCACGGGCAAGCTCTCCACGCCCAACGCCTCCACCAAGCCTGGCCCCATCACCATGGACAGGGATGAGGCACTTGCCTACTCCGGCCGCAAGCGCATCCCGCCCCCCATGGAGTCGTTCGACTACCTGCCCGAGCTCATGGCGCAGGACCCCAAGATGCCTCCGCTGCGCACCGACCTCAAGCCTCTGCACGTCGTTCAGCCCGAGGGCGTGAGCTTCAAGCTCAACGGCAACGAGCTCGAGTGGCAGAAGTGGAAGATGCACATCGGCTTCCACCCTCGCGATGGCCTCATCATCTCCACCGTCAGCTACAACGACCGTGGCAACGTCAGGCCCATCGTCTACCGCATGTCGGTCGCAGAGATGGTTGTGCCTTACGCTTCCACCGAGCACCCGCACCCGCGCAAGTTCGCCTTTGACGTCGGAGAGTACGGCATGGGCACGCTCGCCAACAGTCTCAAGCTTGGATGCGACTGCCTCGGCACCATCCACTACCTTGACGGTCACTACGTCGCTCTCGACGGCTCGCCTACCGCGGTCGAGAACGCCATCTGCATCCATGAGGAGGATGCCGGCATCGCGTGGAAGCACACCGACTACCGCCCTGGCGGAAAGGTTCGCTCGGCACGAGGCAGGAAGCTCGTCATCCAGATGATCTGCACCATCGCCAACTACGAGTACATCTTTGCCTACATGTTCCACACCGACGGCAGCATCCAGCTCGAGACCAAGCTCTCGGGTATCCTCAACCTCTACGTCAAGGACCAGGACGAGCCCAACCCATATGGTGTCGAGGTGGCGCCGCAGGTCAACGCACACTACCACCAGCACCTCTTTGCGCTCAAGATCGACCCCATGGTCGACGGTTGCGAGAACACGGTGATTCAGACGGATTGCGAGCCGACTCCGGCACCAACCGGCTCGGATCGCAACTACCTCGGCAACGGCTTTGTCACGGTCAAGACGCCCATCAACGTCTCTGGCGGCTATGACTGGGACTGGTCGCGCCACCGCACCTGGGCCATCTACAATACCAACAAGCAGCACTACTCGGCCGGTCTGCCCGTGGGCTACAAGATCCACACGCGCGACTGGGAGCCTCTGGCGCTGCAGAGCGACTCGATGGTGGCGCAGCGCGCCGAGTTCACCAAGCACGCGCTCTGGGTGACCAAGTTCAACGAGGAGCAGCTGTGGCCTGCGGGCAAGTACGTGCCTCAGCAGCGCGGTACTGCGCCCGACTCGCTCGGCAACTGGGCCAAGGAGAAGAACAAGGTCGATGACGAGGAGATCACTGTGCATGCCATCTACGGTATCACGCACATCCCACATGCCGAGCAGTTCCCCGTGATGCCCGTCGAGCACCTCAACGTGTGGCTCAAGCCCGCCAACTTCTTCGACTTTAACCCTGCCCAGGACCTGCCTGCGCTCAACGACCCGTTCTCGCGCAGCGCCTTTGGCAGCAACGAGGGCAAGCCCAAGCTCGAGGTGGCCACCAAGCCTTCTCCCATGACGCCGGGCAATGCTCAGTCGAATTCGACCGGCGGCTGCTGCGCCAGCAAGAACAAGTCCAGCGTCTCTGTTCCGCAACCTAGACACGGCATTAGCCTCTCGGCTCCCTCGGGCGCATCCGGAATCGCTTCGGCGAGCCACCCGAAGAACTGCGCTTGCTGCGCAAATGACGGTTCCAGCCGTCTCTGATGTCGCATCGCCTTGATACCAGCTCTCGCTCCCCCACATGTATTGCATCCTCTCATCATGGTTTCCGTCTGCATTCGATCGCAATTTGGTTCATCTAAAAAGCTCGAGCGTGCTGTCTGCTGGCTGGCAAGTTGTTAAATGTGATTTGGGTCGAAGTGAGGTACTTGCGAACGGAAGGGCACATCGAGCTCGATGATGGAGCAGCCTCGAGCCGATGCCCGATCTAAGGGGCCATCGGGCACAGGCCGTTTCCGGCTACCAGCTCGGGTGCGAAAAGAGGCACGCGAAGGGAAGAAAAAAAAAGGAGGACAGAATTGGCAGCGAACCCACTTCCGGTCTTGTATCCGCGAGGCAAAGGGTCGTCGTACCTTAACGCCATCCACCCGCCACATAGACTGCCAACATCCGCCAGCTTGCTGACATCGCATCGGCGGCAAGTCCTGAGAGCGTTGTGCTGCTGCTACGGACGCCTTCACTTGCAGAGTGTAGGCACGCAGTACACCAATCGGGCGAGTTGAAGACGGTCGAGGCTTGCCGACACCACTCAGGACGTCTTCCCGGTCTAGTCCCCAGCAGGCGTATCGGCAGCCATTCGCAGCCCAGTCCTCCTCCACAACTGGCCATTGCCGTCTCCCGAGCCATTGCCGTCTCCCGAGCCTTGGACGACTCAGGAAGAAAAGTTGTCGCCGCCATGGCAACGCCTCCTACCCCACATGCCTCGTCACCATCCCGGCGGCTTCCATCGACAGCGCCCCCATCCACTCTTGCGACCGGTCACACCTCGTCGGCTGCGTCGTCCCGTCCCTCGAGAGATGATGCTACCGGCTTATACGATCAGAGCGCTCGTACACTAGACCTTCAGCGTCGCCGCGAACACAGCACCTCGCATCATGAGCCAGGCGCATACCAGCCCTCCTCAAAGCCAACTCCCAGACCCCCCACCAAGAACGCGGGAAGCTCGACTGCATCGACGTCCAGCGCACCACGCCGCAAGTCCAACATGAACAGCGACAAGGCCGAAAAGCGCAGGAGCAGCCGCGCCTGCCTCGAGTGCCGCCTCGCAAAGACAAAGTGCCACGTCACCGATAACCAGGACGTGTGCGACCGCTGCGCCAAGTTCTCCTTCGACTGCCGCTTCGTCCGCCATCATCGCGGTCGTAAGCCCGTCTCCAAACTCGCCGCCATCGATCCGGATGACATCGACGGGGCTCCAGGATCATCGCGCCATGGCGGCTCGCATGGATACGATGGCTCAGACGACGATCTCGCCACTGACCACGACAGCGATTCGGCAAACGAGGACATTGCGCCCAAGAATGAGCAGGGTCCGACAGGCCAGGACGACACTGACGCTACTCACGCTGCACCGGCAGGCCGATTGTCGGCTCGTGAACACGATGCCAGCGGTCCTGCATCCTCGGACGGCGCCCAAAGACGAAGCAGAGAAATGGCGTCTACAAAGACTGTTTCGGGCAGATCGAATAGCAAAGCGAGAATGCAGAGGAACGCCAACAATCTGCACGAGCTCGACACCAGCGCAAGACGCAGGATCTGGGAAATGCTCGCGCAGAAGATCCCGCAGCGAGGCTCGACTTACACTTTCGTCAGCAAGGGTGAGGTTGCCCACGACAATCTGCAAGCATCCACCTCTACCAAGTCCGCCGGCACTGGAGGCAGCTCAAAACGGGCCTCTTCGCCTTCCTCTGCCTCAGCCCTCGAACGCAAAGATGCAACGAGAGAAAGCGCGGCAGGCTCGACGGCGGAAGACGGTGCGTCGCAGCCCAGCGCAAGCAGTTCGGCCTCTGCGCATCCAAAGCAGACCTCCGCTCCCTCGCAACACTTCGCCTCGACTTTCCGGAACCTGCTGCGACCAGTCGATAAGCGGGCGTCCGCTTCCACTGCCCAGGAGGAGGCAGCATCTGCCGTCGCAGCACGCTATCCACGCTTGCCAGAGACGCTTAACCTGTTTGGATCCAAGGACCCTGTCGACCTAGGCATCCTCTCCATGGCTGCTGCTCGCCGCCTTTATGCCTACTACTTCGAGCATCTCAACCCGTGGGGGATGAACTTTGACCCGAAGCTCGTGTCGCACGATGCGGTGCGCGCGTCGTCGTCGTATCTGTACTCGACCATCTTGTACCTCGCCTCGCGATACATCGAGCTGGCAGATGGCGACGACGACTCGCCCGCCTTCTTCCCACCAACGTTTGCACGCCCACGGCCGGACGACGACCGCATCACAAACGCTATCTCGGCGCAGCTCGGCACCCACGTGCGCAGTCTTGCCATCATGGCGTTTGCGCTTGGCGACAGGAGGATGGAGACTGGCGTCGCCATGTACCTCTCGTCCGTGTGGAAGGAGGCGGACGACCACTTCACCATCCTCTACTGCAGCTATGCGGCCAAGATCATGAGCGACATCCCAACCGAGCTGCTCTCGCTTCTGCCGTCTTCTGATGCCGCCAACGCACGCGCTAAGATCGGCGTCAAGCAAAAGGACGACGCCGAGACCTCAATTGTGCAGCAGCAGCAAAGATCGCGCCGCAACCAGCAGCGACAATTCCTATTTCACTTCATTCAGGAGCACACACATCTGCTGCACTTTGCGCCGCGGCCCAACTTTGACCGCGGCCCGAGTCTGTTGCGCAACCTGCTTGCCTGGGCGGACGATGCGCTAGCTACCGAGGACGACATTCTGCTTTGTGCGGATATCGATTCGGTGCTGCTGCAGACCAAGTACAAGTCGATCATGGAGCGCGCGCAGGCACAGGAGAAGGATACGCTCTACGGCGGTAGCGAGTGCTTCCTGCTGCTCCAGAGCTTCATGGACGAGCTCGAGGGCTGGCGCAGCAGATGGGAGCTGCAGGCGCGCAAGATCAACGAGCGCTTCGGGCGAAGTGCCGCACCTTCCCCGCCAGAGCACAAGTCGGACCACGATGCAGATGTGCCAGCTGCAGACAAGGACGAGAACGGAGGTAAGAGAAAAGAGGACGAGGGGGCGGAGGATGGTGTTGGGCATCTTCCGCTCGATGCGCGCATGCATCTGCTGAGTGTGATGCGCAGCAGTCTCGTCATGCAGGTCTCAAGCATTGCCTTCCGAGCCTCGCTGCGCGACATCAACAAGGCCAAGCCTGCCGCCGCAGGCAAAGCAAGCAGCACTTCGGCCTTTTCGCCCTCGGCTCTGTCTGCGATGGACGACCGTGCCGAGCAGGTCTACTACACGTGTCTCGACTCGGCGCTCAACCTGCTCGTGCACACGATGCAGATGCCGCCGTCGATTCTGCGCCATGCGCAGGACATGATCATGGTGCTCGCGCCGCACGCGGCGCTGCTAGCGACGTACCTCATCTCGCTTCCGCTGCCATCGGTGCCGCCGCACTATGCCGCATCGGCAGCGTCGGACAGGATGAGCTACGAATACGCCAAGGTCAAGACGAGGGTGCGCAGGAGAAAGGAGTACGAGCGAAAGTGTCTCGAGCTCATGCGCGACACGCGCGAGTCGTTCCGGCTGGCTCAGGTGCGAGCCGACGACCACGTCGGCCTGTGTGCGCAGTACTTTGACTCGCTGCTCAATGTCATTGAGGGCGAGTCGGTGGAAAATGGAGCGTCGGCAGCGGCTTCGGCGAGACAGGGAAGATCGCTGCTCAGCAACACCAGCGTGCTTGCGGGCACCAAGAGGTCGCGCAGCAGTCTGGATGTCCAGCGTGGCGACGGAGGCGAGCACGAGGCGCCTAGCGCTCCGCGCGGCGTCATGCAGACGGCGTCGTCGGACGCTGCTGCAGGCCGATCGAGCTCGGCGGGACCCAGTCCTGGCTCGCGCACTTCGGCCCAAATGGGAGCGCAGCCTCACTCGAGCCTGCGCCATTCTGCTCAATCTCACGGCACGTCCAATATGGATGCATCGGCTGCCGAAACGCTGCTCAACCTGCACTCGGAATCGCATCCGTTTGGATCAGAGGCCGACGAGGCCGGCGCCGCCAACGAGGGCTCCTCGCGCGTGTTCCCCGCAGGTGGGTACTATGGGTCCGGCACGCATCTTGCGCACCCGCGCGTCGGCGCCCACACCGCATCCACGCCTCCATCATCCACGTCTGCTGCGGCCGGATCCTTCTCCCCCGGCAGCTTTGTGAGCACGGGCATGTTCGGCCACTTTGTACCTCCGTCGTCGTCGTCGATTCCCAACTCGCCACAACACACGTATCCGCACCATCACCACCACCACCCGCCCTACCCTACTGTTGCGCATCCGAATGCGGCCGAGTTCGCTTTTGCGCCGGGCATGGTCGCTGCACAGGGCACCGCGACGCCGACCGGAGCAGCAGGAACGGGAACCTCGACACCGGTCGACTGGACTTGGCTCCAGAGCTTCCTCGAAGTGCCCGAGTTCTCGTGGATGTAAAACCCCCCTTCCTCTGCCTAATTTTATGCCGGGTTCTTTCGATTGCGCTGGTCTGCGCGTCATGACTGGGAGAAGCGTGATTGCAAAGAGTTTGAGTGTACGAACAGCTGCGACGGGCTTAGAATGCGTTGTCTGCAGGGTGCGTCTTGTCCTCAAAGTAGGGTGCGATCTGTCATAATGCGAGAGAGAGAGAGAGAGAGAGAGAGAGTCAGTAAAGCGAGTTGGAGCGTGGAGGGAGGTCGGATGGTGTACGTACGACGGGGAGCTTGATCAGCACGTCCTTCTTGAAGAGGGGCACGCTCGACATGAAGAGCATCACAGCACCGGCACCGGCACCGCCCCAGAGGGCGAGCGTGGGAGCCCACTTGAACACGGCCGCGGGCGTGCTGTGCGAGGCGTAGACAGGTGGAGGTGAGAGCGTCAGTATCCGACTTCCTTCGCATCTTTGTGCATCGTCGAGCGTCGGAACAGAAGCGTGATCGCAGTGCGACTGTGAAGGACTCGTCACAGCCGCTGAGGTCGTGGCGGAGTGGAGTGCCGTGAGTCGAATTGCAACCAGTATCGAAGCTGTTGGATGTTACTGCCGTCGACTCGGTCCTGTGAATTCCGTTCCTACGGCGAGATGCAATCCTTCACTCGCAAGACGATCGGGTGCCGTTCGAGCTGCTGCATTGCGGTTCGTCGTGGAATGGCGGCTTCGGATTGCTGCGCTGCGATGCGTGCGCGCGGAAGGTCGCTGGCGAGCTACTTACAATCGGCCGACATGGGGCTGGAACGAGGGCTTGGCGCGGTACGAGATCGGAGAGGGACGCATGGTGGGCTAGCGGACGACGATAGATGAATGGTGTGGAGTCGGTGGTGACGAGCAGCAACAGCGACGACAGCGACCAGAGGTGCTTTCCAGAAGACTTGAGTTCAGCGCTCGTTGTTCTGACCATTCCGGCGCCGCTCGTAGGCCCAACGCTGCCAAATTTCCCAAACCGAGAAGCTCCGGTTCCGAGTCGAGCCTGCTCCTCCCGGCCGGAAAGTGCTCCCAAAAGATCAGGGGTGTTAGATCTGTATGAGAGCAGTGTGATGTTGGATCCCACTCTCTCACACTTCAAATCGGACGCCAATTTGTTTTGCGGTGCTGATCTGACACTCTTCAGCTTTTTTAGGAGATCGTCGGCGCCAGAAGCCATCGGAGCGGATAGGGAACTCGCCCGAAGCGGATTCGATCTAATCACAACCTCGCGCCCCTTTGGCACATCTTCTTGAAACCTGCTTTGCGTCAGCTTAAGCCAGTTGCGCCCTGCCTGGGAACACCGGCGCGGCCGAGCCAGGAGCGAGGGCAGGGCGGAGACCAGGATGACTCGAGCTGTCCCCCCGCGCTCGCAGCAGGCAGAGAGAAGCGGGCCTTCACAGTCGGAAGATGGAGTGGGGATTTTTGCCGGCTTCGGCACGGCAGCGTGGGCAGCAGCAGCCTCCGACTCATGCAGGCGACGCGCACTAAAGATAAGATGCTCAAAATCAGCCAATCAGACCACGCGCTTTGGACACCGTTTCCCCACCACCTGCTGCCCATGCAATCCCTTCGCCGCGACCATCCTTCCGACAACGCCGCTCCGAGCTCTCACGGCAATGAACAGCGTCGGCCGCATTCTTTTTGCCGTTGACGGGAACTGTGCTGGCTTGAGAGATTTTGAGATGAGGATGCCCGCAGTCGAGGGGCCAGTCCGGTCAGCCAAGGAGGGTCGTAGCGACGCGATGTTGGTTTGAATGCGTGCGATCAAGGGTGTTTCGCCAGATCGAGCAAGTGGGGCAAGACCAACAAATCGAGGGTCTATGAGAAGAACTGACGAGCTCAAATTGCCTTGATCCAAGACCCAAACGTCCCACGGGGTAAGGCAAAGAACCTTCTTGCGTCTCGCACCTCGCTCGGCGCGCACCCCACAAGGCGCGCGGCTCACTGCCGCCTTCTCGCCGTTCGAGAAAGAGAATGCGGAGGGCGGCATCGGCGTGGATGAGAGTTTGCCGATGCTGCCTGCGCAACCGCGGACTTGGACAGGATGGCCGGTCAGGGTTGAAGCTTTGAAAGCGCAGGGAGGGAGAGAGAGATCTTCTGAAGCTCGCTGAAAAGATCGGCAATTCGAACCGACCGGCGCTGCCAATTGCTTGCTCCTGATTGGGAAGATGGGCAGCGTTATCTAGCTTGATCACTTTCATCTGCGTATGGTTCAACGTGGCTGCTCGCTTCTCCGCTCCGCTCCCGCATCATTGTCGCGGAAGCTGTATATGAAAGCCAAGCACAAGGTGCGACCAAATCAGATGCGTCGCATTGGAGAGCCCATCCAAGGTCCTCCAGGTCGCCCGGTCGCACCGTGTGATCCGTATGTCTGAAAGCCCAACGTTCGGCCCCTTCTAGCCGCTCATAGCCGTAGACTGCCAGCCGAGTCCCAGTGCCTCGTCCTCACCAAGTCAACCTGGGGAAGACCAAGCGTGACCCTTGGCCACGCTAAGTTACAGCCCCACACGATTGACAGCATTGCGTTGCGTCACTCGATCCAAAGCGAGCTGCCGGGGCATCTTGTGCGCTTGCTCAAACGTTGACCGAATGGGTGCCGGCAAACGACAACCTGCCCCGCGCTCAAGCTCAGCGCAGGCTCGGGCCAGGGTGGAGGACAAGTCAAGGGCGCGGTGGGGACGTCAGCGTCGGGCTAACGAGCCTGGCACATTGGTAGCCTCTAGGAGAGCTGGCAGAGCTGGCCGCCCTGGCCGCCCTGGCGCCAGGGCTCGGTTCAGGGTTTGAGGCGAACTTTGGGGCGTCAAGCAACGCCTCACTGGATCAGCTCACGCGAGCGCCGCGAAAGGCGACGCACTGCGATTTCGGCGACCTGCGGGGTGAGATTCTAATTGTGAAACGACGGGGGTTCAAGGGTTTGGGGAACGGCTCATCGCCCTGGGCTGTGGGTCTGTTTGCTCGTTTGGCGCGAATTTCAGGCTCGAATCGTCGAGCTAAAGGGAACTTGAGAGTTGGAAATTAAGCGTCTGGCTAAACAAAAGAGGGGCGATTCGCTTCAGCTTGGATGCACGTCCAGATAGCCAAGACCTCGAGCACCCCGTCACACTGGCATCACCGCCCGCACGTCGGTTGGGCCAAACTGCCTGACCCGACGCTGCACGGTGCACCAACACCGCCTGCAGGCCACTGTGCGGTGCAGTTGAAGCGAATCCAGCCGTGAGATGGCCCGCCTGCCCGCCCACGCCCGACCGTCTGTTCCGCTTGGGCTCGCTAACCCCTTCGCCCGCCAGCCCGCCCGCCCGCCCACTCCTTGAGCGGTCCGGCGCCGTCTGACTCTCTGGCTCGCTCCCACTCTCGGGCGCACAGCCGTGCGTTATCAGCTGCCGGGCACAAATCTACCTCGCCCGACTCGCTCCCCCCCCCATCTCATCTACTCGCTTCGGAGCTTTGTCCGTCCTTCTTTCCTCTCCATCATCTTCTCATCCCTCCCCTCGCCCATCTCACTGTAGACCCAAGTGTCACAAAACATCTTTCACCATGGCTATTCCTTTCATTAAGAACCCGGGTAAGTAGCTTGTACACCCGTGTCGACGCTGCTCGGCGTCTCGCGAGCCCGGCGCCATCATTGCTGCTGGCTCTTCCTCATTGTGCCGAGCACAACGGGGAGCTCCGCGACAATGCTGCCAAGGCTGCTGGCTATGCCAGAAGCCGCCTCGTTCCGATCATGTCGCTGTGGGAGTGATCCTGCGTGAGCTCGCACGTCTCTGCGAGCGGCTCTGAGTGCACCCGCAGCAATGGCCTAAGCAGTTCTTCTGTGCTCTGCTTGCTGTTGTGCGCCCTTGGTAGATGCGTTGCGTGGCTCGCTCTAGCTTCGCTGCCCTCCAGAGACACCCGACCGTGCGACACGGCTTCTCCGTACAATCTTGTCTGTTCAAACACTTACCCGATACGCTTCTTCCCTCCTGCCTTGGCAAACGCCCCTAACAGGTCTCGTCAACCCTTACTTCGAGCTTGACCAGCGTGGCAAGGTCATGGCCGAGTACATCTGGATTGACGGCGATGGTGAGTGACCGAGTTTCTCGGATGTGGCTCGGATGCGGTCTGCCCGCAGCAGCAACCAGTCATTTTCCGTCTTGACAGCATCCTGAACGACGAAGCTGACCGTTCGTGTGCTTGCTCGCACCTTTTCCGCTCTTCAGGCGAGATCCGTGGCAAGACCACCACCCTCGACGGCCCCGTCAAGTCGCTCAACGACCTCAAGGAGTGGAACTTCGACGGCTCCTCCACCAACCAGGCCCCCGGCGGTAACTCGGATGTCTACCTCCGCCCCGCCGCCTACTACCCCGACCCCTTCCGTCGCGGCGACAACGTCATTGTTCTTGCCGAGTGCTTCAACAACGACGGCACACCCAACAAGTCGAACTACCGCTACCAGTGCAACAAGATCATGACCCAGGTCGCTGCCGAGAAGCCCTGGTTCGGTCTCGAGCAGGAGTACTCGCTCTTCGACATGGACGACCGCCCGTACGGCTGGCCCAAGGGCGGTTTCCCCGGCCCCCAGGGTCCTTACTACTGCGGTGCCGGTGCCGGCAAGGTCTTTGCCCGTGACCTCGTCGAGGCTCACTACCGCGCCTGCCTCTTCGCCGGTGTCAACATCTCGGGCATTAACGCCGAGGTCATGCCCTCCCAGTGGGAGTTCCAGGTCGGCCCTTGCGAGGGTATCGAGATGGGCGACCACCTCACCCTTGCGCGATACCTCCTCATCCGCGTGGCTGAGGAGTGGGGCGTCAAGGTCTCGTTCCACCCCAAGGCGGTTCCCGGTGACTGGAACGGTGCCGGTTGCCACACCAACTACTCGACCGAGTCGATGCGCAAGGAGGGCGGCATGAAGGCCATCGAGGCTGCCATCGAGAAGCTCGCCAAGCGCCACAACGAGCACATTGCCGTGTACGGTGCCGACAACGACAAGCGTCTTACGGGCAAGCACGAGACCGGCCACATCGGCGACTTCTCGTCCGGTGTTGCCAACCGTGGCGCTTCGATCCGCATCCCCCGTCACGTTGCCGCGCAAGGCTACGGTTACCTCGAGGACCGTCGCCCTGCCTCGAACTGCGACCCTTACCTCGTCACCGGTATCGTTGCCGAGACCACCCTGCTGCTCTAAACCGACAAAAACACACGATCGCACGCGGCGCTGCTTTGGCGTCGTGTACTGTAGAGGCGTTGAACATGCCCCCCTTCGCCAGATTTCTTGTTTGTTGTTTCGTGTAGTTAGTTTCGGTTGAGTCTTGTCGTGTAAGCAGTTGGTTTCGTCATTTTCGGCTTTGGCCCGTGTGTGCCTTTGTAGATGAGAGTGAAGGAGACCACCAACAAAACGTTCGATCATGACACGGAGAGCAAGGCAGAGGCAGGGGACGAGCGAGCGCGGAGCAAGGCGGCGTCGGAAGTGTGCCGAGTCTGCGTCCGGAAGGCCCGATGCCATTGCGGGTGCAGCGTCGGGCAGAGCGAACCGAACGACGCACCGACGGTGCTGCCCTGCTCATCAGTTTGGGCAACGTCAAGCGCATCTATCGTCTAGCGATCCCTCAAAGCAGATCCAAACCGATGTGAAACGCGGGATTGCTGAACCTGGCATCATCCGCTCACCAGGATCCAAGTTCTCATTCAGGAGCCCAACCCTCCCTTCTGCCCTCCTGCCCTTCTTCCTTTCCTGACCTGTGACTCTGTCACGTCGCTGGACTGGTTCGATCCTCCACCTTGGCCAAAGAACTACCTCGTCTTCCTGCTCCTTCTTACCAATGTGCGCTTCCCACTCTCAAGCCCAGTCTGGCTGCACACGCCAACCTCCCACTTCACGCTCCTCATTCCTCCACCCACACTCCCTGCAAAGCGGATTGACAAATGCAATTAAAACGAACGATATATGACTTGAACCACTGCGCAGATGGGCGGCAGGGTATGCTGTGGGGGTATGCAAGGACTAGTGGCCCTCGTTGTGCAGATGCCTGCAGAGCGCGGTCCAGAAGCGCTCGAGGTCGGACATTTCGGCGCGCGTGCGTTTTGGCTGCGTGGGTTCAGCGTCTTGCTTCGCCTGCTCGGTGCGCGCCGCTACCTGCTGAGTCGAGAAGGGTGCGGCATGCGGTGCGAGCGACGGTGCTTGCGCTGCGATGGACGCAACTTCCGCCGCTGCTGGACGGCTAGCAGACGGTGCTGTCGCGGCGAGCTCGACGACGCCCGTAGGACGATCCGGCTTGGCCTGCGCCTGCGCCGAGCCCAGCTCGGGCACTTGCGGATTGTACAGCGTGAGGCCGGTCTCTTCGATCAAGCGATCGCGCTGCTCGGCCATGGCGCGCCGCTCGGCATTGCCCGACGGCAGCCGGTCCGAGATCCAGCTCGCGATCTCCTGCACCAGCGAATCGTCCTGGTGCTGCGGGTGGAACGACGACAGCGCCGGATGCTCGCCGTCGTGCTCACCATCATCAAGCTGCTGCGCTTCCGCAGCTTCAGCGCCCTCGTCGCTCGCCTCGGGGTCGCGCAGCGACACGCCATTCCAGCCCTCGGCCTCGGCGAGCTGCTTGAACGAGCGGAAGGCAGTGATCGGCTGTTCAACAGCCGTAGTGGCTGCTGATGCCGACGAAATTGCCGCATCCGAAGCTGGGCTCAGGCGAGCCTCTTTGGCGCTGTCCTCGGACTTGGCCGACGAGCTCTTGGACTTGGAAAAGAGGAGGCGGTTGATGTCGATCCAGTTCGAGCTCGACTTGTCTGCCTCGGCGCGTTGCTTTGGAGTGGTGTCCTCGCTGGCTTTGGTCGGGTACGGCCTACCCGTGGACGGGTTGATGTTCTGACGCCAGCGGGGGGCGCCGCCGCCGCGCAGGTCCCAGTGGTCGCACCCCTCCATGACGCCGAGAAATTCACCCCACTTGGCGCTCTCGACGCTCACGAGACCGTCGTTGCCCTGGTCCTGGCCACCAAGCGCGTCGGCACTGCCGTCGCTCTCGCCTCCCGCGGTGCGCGACTCGGCAGCCGCATCGAGGATGAGCTTGGGCAGCCACAGCGGATGCCAGATGGCGAGGCTGGGCGTGCGCGACGCAATGCTGTAGTACTTGACGCCGTCGACGTTGGGCGTCTTTGGGTTGAACACCTCGTTCATATACTTGGTCGAGAGCATGGCGTAAGCAGGCGTGTCGAGAAGCGAAAGCATGTACGAGCTGAAAGAGCCCGTGAGCGTCGAGAGCGAGCCGATGAACGAGGACAGTCCGAATGGCAGCGAGCCGTCGCCCTTTGTGCTCTGTTTGACAGCTTCCTTGACCTTGTCGGCGACGTCGTCGGTGGACGAGCCTGAAGAGATGGCCGCGCCAACCGCAGAGGACGCAGCGTTGGCAGTGGACAGGATCGAGTCGACGGGCGAGTCTTCTGAGCCTCGCTGCTTGCTTGCTGGCTTCTTGGGCAGGCTGCTGGAGCCTTGCAAGGGCTTGGGCCGGGTGAAGAGGGGCGACTTGAGCGAGTAGGGCACCTTGGTGGTGGTGCGGCTGGGACGATGCTCGCGATCGGCCAGATGGGCGCGCTCGGCTCTTGCCTCGGCGATGGCCTTCTCGATGTAGTCGTTGCCGATGCCAATGTTGGCGTTGCACCAGTCCATGAACGGGCTGCCGCGGTGCGGGGTGCTGATGGTGGTGAGACTGACGGGAGTGTACTCGTCGGCACGCGGTCGGATGTGTGTGAGGAGATGACGCACGTCGAGACCACCCATGCTGTGGGCGACAAAGTTGAGCTTCTTGCCGCGTACGCCGGCCTCGTCGCTCAGGAGGAAGTTGTGGAGCGATTCGGCGCGCTCCTGGATGGAACCGGTGGGCGGGACGCCATGGACGAGCACCTCGACGCCCATCTTCTTGCGGAGGATGTCGAGCGTCTTGGCCCAGTAGTGGATTTCGAGGCCCAAGAAAGGCCCTCGGACGTCGAAGCCGTAGAGGCCGTGGCAGAGGACGATGGGGTGGCGAGGCAAGATGATGGGGTCGTAGGTGTGTGGGTCGTGCATGACGCTGTGGATGCGTCCGACGCCGCGCGAGCGGTTGCGCGATTGAGGTGCAGCTTCTGAAGTGTCGGCGTTGCGTTGCGTCTGCTGTGTGGAAGCTCGCAACAGTGAAGCGAGCGAGCTGGTGAGGCGGTCGAGCCATGTGTTGGGTCTGGGCTGTGGATGAGCGAGTGAGCTGAGTGCAGCTCGCCCTTGTGTGCCGGGATTCTCCGACTGGAGCGTGCCGGAGAAGACGTTGGTGGTGGAGGAAGTGCCGCTAGGGAGGCGGGTGGTCGTGCGCGGACGAGCCGAGGTATGAACGCGGCGCAGCATGGCCGCTTTACGTGGCACGGCGGTGGATTGCGACGTCGGCAGACCCGCAGCTGCTGCACCGAGCAGGCTTCGGGCGTTGTCGGGCGCAGCCGAGATGGAAGAGGTTGTCTTTCTGTGCGACAGAGCGGGTGTGCAGGGGCTCGACGCTGGCGAACAGCACGAGTAGGCGGCGAGCCAGCAAATCATGGCAAGAATGCCTGCTCGGGAGCGCAGGAGGGCGTTGGTGTTTGCGACGGTTCGAGAGCACTCGGCGGTGCGTACGACGCCGTCGAACGAGGTTTGCAGACGCTGCTGGAGGACGGAGCGCATGGTGGCGTCCATGGATGCGATGTTGGTGCGGAACATTTTATGCGAACGGCCGACCGCACCGTGCTTGTCGGCTGTGGATGACCGCTTGTGGCCCGGACGACAGGATTACCTCGGCGTGACGAATCAGATCATAAGGAGGAGACGAAGCACAAAGTTGGCGGGGCAGGCGATGATCTGGGTCGTCCGATTGAACAGTGACGATCGCGATCGTGCGCCACGGCTGCAGCCGGGTGGAGAGCTTGCAGAAACGCGAATCGGAAGGCTGTGTTGGTGGTGAGCAGGGTAGTGATCGGCGAGAGGGAGGGGGCGATGAACGACGATGGCACGAGCGAGATTAAGTCTGTTTGTGCAAAGTCATCATGCTCCCTTTTGGTGGCCGGAAGAGGGTGTTGGAGAGGGGAGTTGGGTGGCCACGTTGAAGTGGAGCTTTCGAGTTGCGGATTCAGCAGCTTTCAGGCGAGCGGTGGCGGGCTGGGCTGGCTGGGCTGGACTGGACTGGAGACTGTGCTGTGCTGTGCGGTGCTGTGCGCTGTGGTGCGCTGCGTGTGTGTTTGGGTGGTTGCTTCTGTGGGCGGTCATCGGCATTAATTTTGAAGTTCAGCGCGATTTTCCAGCTGCTTCTGGCTCGGCTGGGCCAATTTAGAGCTGAATACCGTGAAATGCACGCTCTGCCGTCACCTGCTGCGTGTGCTTTTTTTTGGGGCAGAGCGTCGGGTGAATCGGCGCGGAGTGCGCCGCACTTGGTCTCAGCTAGAGCCGTGTGTGTTGTTTTGCCAGACGGCCAATTCACAACCAACACCCAACAGCGCTTTAATTTTCCGTCGGTCACCTGCTCGCCTCCACTGGCTCCCCCTGACCAGTGTTCAAGCTTGGCTGCCACGCCATGCCATGCCCCTGTCTTGTGCACGGCCTGCAAGTCTGTTTGCGCTTTGGGACCATTCGGTGCAGCCTATCGTCACAGAGCGGAGTTGCAGTCTGGTGTTTCTTGAATGTGACAAGGGTCCCCTTTTTGGCCGTGTAGCGAGGCCCCTGTAGCTGCATGTCAATTCATCGCTCCCGGAAAAAAAGGATCGACGGCAACACGTTCACCTGAACCGTAACTGCATCGCGCGGCCCGCTCACAACGTGCTGTCATGGCAGCGCCGATTCACTGATGCCTGAACGTGCATAGCCCGGATCCCCTCATTGACTCTAAGCATATCGAGACTGTCTGTCGATCGTGCACAGCCCAGAGGAGAAGCTTAGAGTTCGGCCACTGTGGATGTCCCATGGTGCTCCACAGGCAAACCCTTTGTTGGGGGTAGGAAAGGGGCAGCAGAAGTGAGCAGCTCTGCATGCTCGACGTGTCGTCACTCGATTCCGCCGAGACCTAAATTAGACATCGTCAGATTCAGCTTTTGTTTGCCTGCGGCTGGGAGCCATGCTGGAGGAGCCGAGACCGGTCCATTGGCACAGCATCCATCCTGATGCGGGGTCACGAGACACACCCTGAATGAAACGCACATGGTGAACCGGCATCTAACTTGAACTCCATCATGGTGCGGCGCTCTGACGTGTGCTATTCTCAGGAGCACTTGCGAGCAGCCCTGGCCGCACCAGGTTGCTTCCTCCAGAACACTCAGCATGCAGACATTCACCGAGCCCGCCAAGATGACACGTTGCTTGGTGTCGATGACGTCTGCATCCGAGGTTTTTCAAAACATTTGTTAGGCCCACAAAGTAACAAAAATTCTGCTCGCTGACAAAGGCTCAGGTCATTCGAAAAAGTCTGGCAAGGCTCGGAAGGCAGCGTGAGCCGCCTGCGAAGAAAAGCGAGAACCTCGAGTCGCTTGGAAACGGCGGAAGTATCGCACCTTCTCATCGTCACCAACATTCACATCGACAGGTCCTTTCGACCACAGCAACCTCTCGACCCTATTCTCGACCAGCAGACAGCCAGCAGCTGGTGTCTGTGTCCCGTATATCGCCATGCGGCCCAGCGTTTCCAGCTCCCGGGCTGCCAGCCTGGTTCTGCAGCAGAGACTGGTCTCCCTGACCATCCAGACCCCACGCATCGCCGCCGCCGTCACCCAGCTCGGTCGATCGTCCGCTATGCAGAGCTCGTCATCCTCATGCGTTCGAGCCACACTTCACACCTCTTCCCGCGCCGCTCAGGCTGCACCAGCGCCGACACCCAAGCCGGCATCCCAACCAGCCAAGGCCGAGCAGGAGATCTCCAAGTGGAAGCCCACTTCCAAGCGCGTCGGTCTCATCGCCGTCAAGCGCGGTATGACCTCCTTCTTCCTGCCCAACGGAGAGAGGATCCCGGCCACCGTTTTGCAGGTCCACTCTAACCAGATCTCGGCGCATGTTGGTTTCGGCGACAATGCCAACGAGTCCAACTACACCGCCCTGCAAGTGGCTGCCATCGATACCCCGTCGCCTTGGCACGTCACAAGGCAGGTGCGAGGTCACCTCAAGAAGGCAGGTGTCAACACGGGCAAGAGGGTCATCCACGAGTTCCCCGTCAGTGCCGACGCGCTTGTGCCGCTGGGCACGAGGCTTTCGGCCGTCCATTTCGTGCCCGGCCAGTCGGTCGACGTGCGCGGCATCACCAGGGGCCACGGCTTCCAGGGTGTCATGAAGCGCCACGGCTTCCACGGCCTTCGAGCGTCACACGGTGTGTCGATCTCGCATCGTAGCCACGGTTCCACCGGTCAGCACCAGGATCCAGGCCGTGTGTGGCCCGGCAAGAAGATGGCTGGTCGCATGGGCGGAAACAAGCACGGCACCATCCACAACCTGCTTGTCGTCCGTATCGACGCGGAGAAGGATCTCATCTACGTCAAGGGCAATGTTCCAGGCCCCAAGGGTGGCGATGTGACGGTGCAGGATGCGCGCCGACCCAGCTGGAAGGGCGAGAAGATGTACAGGAGGGGACGTCTGCCGACGGGTGAAGCGCTGTCGGGCAAGGAGCCGGACTCGATCTACCTCGCAACAGGCGTCGACAAGCTGCCTTTCCCTGCAGGCACCAAGGCCATCGCCGATAAGCTGCCTGCCATCGTCGAGATTGGTCTCACTCAGCTCAACTCGGCCAACAAGGCATGATTGGTCCTTGCTTCCCTTGACCCATTGTAACACTAGCAACTCGTCTCGAACAACATTCTTCTATTCGTAGATACGCAGAGAGACCCGCGCTGGTGATGCGGTGCATGACGGTCCCATGAGAGGAGGCCAAACGGCTTGAGAGAGGCTGGCATCGGGTGGCAGCCCGATGATCATCGCGGCTCGGTCGCGTGTCTTTGCCTGATTTTTTTCCGGGGCGATTTCGCATTCACCCGAGCCGTGGATACGACTGTGGCAGCAGGCCGTGGAGGCAAAGTGGAAGCTTTTCGAGCGATTCCGAGAAATTCCACTTGGAAGCGGCGGACCCTTCCGCTCGACTGCGCACCTTACGACATTCACATCATCGCCCCGTCACCACCCTCATCCTCACACCAATAGTGGCTCAGCTGCGCTCCGTCGATCCAGACCACTCCATACATCGCTTTGCTGTAATCCCTCTCGATTCATCCGCTGCTCCGAGAGCTGCCAGGCACACCACTCCGATCAACCCACCTTTTGAGGTCCACTTTCGTCCGTTTGGCCTCCACCCGGACTCACGGCTGTCTGCATTTACCACGACAACCACTTTCTATCACACGACTTACTCGGTACTAGAACCAAGATGGTAGGTGCACTCGGCTGCAATATCCAGATCTGCGTATCCAGTGGTGCATGACGCTGACCTTGCTTTCACTTACCTCCTTGTTCGCTTGCTTTGCGGTACATCAGTCTCTTCCCAAGACGCTCGCACAGATTCTGTTCGTCGGAACTCAGATCGTGGGCAAGGCGCTGCTCGAGGCCGGACGACAGGCAGGAAGGAATGCTCGTGCAGGCCGAGTCGAGGCCGCTGCAGGCGCGGCAGGTGCAGGATCCGGTTCGGCTGCATCGCCATCAGACCAGCTCACAAGGACACATCGCATGACGCTCGACGAGGCCAAGTTGATCCTCAATCTCAAGCAGGACCTCTCGGCGGCTGGCCTCAGTGGAGGCGAAGGCAAGACTGTGCTCGAGCAGGTGCGCGAGTCCATGGTCAAGAGCTACGACCATCTGTTTGCCACCAACGCGCCACCAGCACCAAAAGGACAGAAGGGCGGAGGAGCCGGCTCGTTCTACATTCAGAGCAAGGTGGTCCGCGCTCGCGAGAGGATCGAGGCCGAGTGGTCGCTCTTGGATGCGGCCAAGAAGCCCGAGGCGGATGCGGCCGAAACACCCGCGAACGCAGCCAACAAGCCCGAGCAGTCCGACAAGTCGCCATGACGACCCCATCGGACATCCTTTGCAAAACGACCATAGACCGACGACTCTTTTTTCTCTGGCAGAAACTTCAGCCAGGAGCTTTCGGAACTGTCGACTGTAAATACTGTATCATCACCAACCTCACGCTTGCGCTGAAGGCAACCAGCTCTTCGAGCTCGCATAACTGCATATTCACCATTCTTCGCTCTTCTCCTATCTCTGCGCTAGCGTGCGTGAGCCGAGCCTTAATGATGGAGGTGACATGTGCTTGTGAGGCCATACCGGCCTCTACTCTTGGGGCCACGCTGGAGAAAGGAGCTCATTGTAGCGGCAGTCTGTGGCACCAGTCCTCGCGACTCATCACGGCTGGCCAGCCTTGGGCTCTGTCACGGAACCAAAGCCGCGATAGGTAGTCCCACACCAACAAGCGGCTCTCTTGAATCAAGCCCTGTCTGGCCGCTGCGGAGGAGGCTCAGATGTGTACCACCCAAATTGTGGAGGATGGGGTCGAGGTTGAGCGGAACTCGAAGCGTTGCGGTGGGCCGGGGTGACTCGCTCAAGAATTGACTCGGAGGTGGAGCCGAGAAATTGAGCTCAAAGCGCTGGGAGTGGCTGCGCACTTCCAAAAATTGAGCCGCTCCAGAGCCGCCGTCATTTCTTCCAGGTTCTAGGCCAGCAGTCGAGGCGAGGCGCAGCGCATGCCCGCCCGACCCTTTTTTCTTTGCGCAGCCCGCACGTACCTCCAACCGTCGAGCACAGCTCCTCCTCTTCCTCTCACTACCACGACCGCAACCGACCAACTTTATACCATACTGGAGTGAGGTCATCTGAATCCGAATCAGCTCGCTTCTTGACACCACACCCTCGATTACGCCAGCGGACCCGCAACACGACCGGCCGATCCGCGCACGACATCATGGCGTCTCCATTCCCAGTGGCTCTGCCCGTGTCCGAGACACGGGCGCACAACGACTCGCCTGCGGTGCTCATGAAGGTCACCACAGAGACTGCGCGCAGGAACGAAAAGATCCTTCCCAAAGACGGCGAGCCCAACATCCTCGTCACCTCCGCCCTGCCCTACGTCAACAACGTGCCCCACCTCGGCAACATCATCGGCTCCACGCTCAGCGCCGATGTATACGCACGATACTCGCGCACGCGCAATCGCAACACGCTCTACATCTGCGGCACGGATGAGTACGGCACCGCCACCGAGACCAAGGCGCTAGAGGACGGCGTCACACCGCAGCAGCTTTGCGACAAGTACCACGCGCTCCACGCCCAGGTCTACGAGTGGTTCCAGATCGGCTTCGACCACTTTGGCCGCACCACCACGCCCAAGCAGACCGAGATCGCACAGGACATCTTCCTCAAGCTCCACAAGAACGGCTATCTCGAGGAGCGCACCATGACCCAGCTCTTCTGCGAAAACTGCACGCGCTTCCTCGCCGACCGCTACGTCGAGGGCGAGTGCCCGCGCTGCGGCTACGACGACGCTCGCGGTGACCAGTGCGACAAGTGTGGCCAGCTCTACGATGCCGTCGAGCTTGTCAAGCCCAGATGCAAGCTCTGCTCGTCGGCGCCCGTCCAGCGCGAGTCCTCGCACATGTTCATCCGCATCGACCAGCTCCAGCCCTTGACCGAGGCGTGGGCCAAGGAGCAGGCCCAGAAGGGCGGTTGGAGCTCCAACGGCAAGTTCATCACCGAGAGCTGGTTCAAGGAGGGTCTCAAGCCCTTCAGCTTGACGCGCGACCTCAAGTGGGGCGTGCCCGTCCCCATCAAGGGCATGGAGGACAAGGTGCTGTACGTGTGGTTCGATGCGCCCATCGGCTACCCGAGCATCACCGCCAACTACACCGACGAGTGGGAGCAGTGGTGGAAGAACCCGGACAACGTCAAGCTCTACCAGTTCATGGGCAAGGACAACGTGCGCTTCCACACCGTCATCTTCCCCTCGTGCCTCATCGGCAGCAAGGACCCCTACACGCTCCTCCACCACATCAACACCACCGAGTACCTCCAGTACGAGGGCGGCAAGTTCTCCAAGTCGAGAAACATCGGCGTATTCGGCGACAAGGCACGCGACCTCGGTCTGTCGGCGTCCGTGTGGCGATACTACCTGCTGGCCAACCGTCCCGAGACGGCCGACAGCCAATTCGCATGGCGTGACTTTATCGCGCGCAACAACTCGGAGCTGCTCGCCAATCTCGGCAACTTCTGCAACCGCGTGCTGACGTTCATGAAGAAGTACGACTATGTTATCCCGGCGATTCCGGACGACTCGGAGCTGCGCTCGTACAAGGAGGGCGCGCTGGTGTCGGCGGCGGAAGACGATGCGTCGGCGAGCGTGCTCTCGCGCTTCGCGCGCGACGTCAACTCCATCCTGGCGCAGTACATTGCGTCGATGGAGGCGGTCAAGATCCGATCGGGTCTGCAGCACATGATGGCGCTCTCGGCGCGCGGCAACGTCTTCCTGGTGGAGTCGCACTTTGACAATGCGCTGTTTAGCGACAACCGCGCGCGCTGCGACGAGGTGATGATCGTTGCGCTCAACCTCATCTGGCTGCTTTCGGCGCTCATCCATCCGTTCATGCCCGAGACGTCGGATGCGATTCTGAAGCAGCTCGATGCGCCTCCTCGCACCGTCCCCGAGGACGGCAAATTCGCGCTCGACCTGCTTGCCGGCCACAAGATCGGCAAGGCGTCGCACCTGTTCAAGCAGATCGACCCGAAGCAGGAGGAGGTTTGGCGCGTCCAGTTTGGCGGTAGCGCCGATGGGGCGGTGCAGGAGGAGAAGCCGCAGATGAGCAAGAAGCAGGCCATGAAGGCGGCCAAGGCGGCCAAGAAGCAGGCGGAAGCCGCCAAGCCGCAGGTGAAGAACAAGACGCCCGAACTGTTGCAGCTCGAGCAGCAGGTCGCCACCGAGGGCGATGCGCTCAAGAAGCTCAAGGAGGACGCCAAGAAGGCGGAATCGGCCGACGACAAGGCCAAGCTCGACAAGGACGTCGAAGCCAAGCTCGCCGGCTTCCTCGCGTTGAAGAAGGACCTCGAGACGCTCACCGCCTCGTTGGCCAAGCTCGAACTCGAGGCCGAAACCGCTGCACAGTAAAAGAGCCACAGCCATGTAGACTTTGAGATCATTTCGACATTCAATTTGCATTTCTTCAACCAAGATTCGAGCGAGGGAAGGAAGAAGCCTAGGCTGCTGAGCGTGGGGCAGGTTGCGAGATCATAAAGTAGCCCAAGCTTGCATTTGCCTCTGCCGCCACTTGGAACGGCTGTCGATCGTGCGCCACGGATTCGATGATCTTTGGCAGAGCCGACAGAGCGAGTCTGGAGCGAGCTTTGGTAGCGAGCACGTCGTGTTCGAGACGTTCGAGTGTCGCCAGCAGGCGTGCTGCGTTGATGGCGATGCTTTCGCAATGGAATGTGAGTTCAACACGCTCGCTCGACTCGAGGCTGGCATACTGTGCCGACAGTGGCGGGCGCGAGAGGTAGTGGTGCGATGCGGTGGCAGAGAGCGCCGGATGCGCCATGTGCGCGCGGGCCGATGCGTGCGGCTGGATGGTGAGCGTACACGAGGTTGTGTCAAACTCGAGCACACGTGAATCCGGTTCTTGCTCCGGCAGTATCTTCTCCGACCTCCTCCCGCTCGCACCCGCATATAGTTCGCCCTGCAACTCGCCGGTGGGTTTGGGCTTGAACCAGTCGCGAAAGACGCGATCGAGCCCCTCGGCGAGCGACTTTGAAAAGCGCAGCCGGTGATTGGCCGCTTCATCGCCCCGCAGCAGCGCGGCAATGGTGGCGTTGGTGTCCTGGATGCTCCTGCGCGCCGTGAGCGTCAGGATCAGGCTTTCGAACGAGTCGAGCGGGTCGAGCTGAAACGCGTAGCACGCCGGCTTGTGCGCAGCGCGGCGCGGCAGCCTTGCTTCCAGGCCCGCGGGCGCTGCTCGAGTGCCCGGTGGCCCGGCCCAGTCGTACGCATCTAAGGGCTCCTCCAGACTTGGGCCGGGCGCGGTCGTCTGCGCCTGCTCGCCATTTTGGCGCGCCGAGCTCATGCTGTTGCGCACGAGGTGATGTCGATTGGCTGCCTCGAGGTTGTGCCTGAGGAAGGGGAAGGGCGCGCTGGCGATCTCGTGTGCGATGGCTCTTGCCCTCGATGTGCTCGCTGTGGAGCTGGATCGGCTGCGCGATCGCAGCGACGCTGCCGACGACGGGTTGCGCGACAGCCCAGGTCGGGAAGGCAGCCGCTCTTCGAGGTCGAGCGAGCTGGACACGAGGGTCTGCATCGCGCGTTGCTGGTCATTCTGATGGAGCCCGGGTAGGAAGGGCTGGAAAGGCGTCGCGACGTATGGGTTGGCGCCCGTGCGGATGCGCTCAGGACCGATTGACACCGAGTTGCCTCGCCCTCTACCTGAGCCGCGTCCGCCTCGAAGCCGCTCCGAGTCCGTCGTGACACGGCTGCTGGCGCCATTGGAGAACTGGAACACGGCAGCAGAGGACATAGGTTGGCGCTTGGAGTATGCGCAGGGTGTGACGGAAGCAAAGTGGGAAAAGTGCAATGTATGCTTGGCGGTGACGGTGTCGATGGGTCGCTGGGCCTCAAACTCGAGCACCGTGGCGTCGTCCGGATCGGCCGAGTGGCATCCGATTCCGAGGTAGCGCAGACAGTAGCGCTGAATGTGGGCCTCTGTCAAGTCGTGGAAGTGGTGGTTGGTGAGCGAGAGCGTGCGCACCAGCACCTTGGCTGGCAGGAAGACGAGGATGTATGCTTGAAGTTCGAGTGGAAGCCGGTCGAGCATGGTTGTGTGGGTGGTGTACGCGATGTAAATCTGGTTCAGTAGGATCGTATGAGCTCGTAGGTAGATGTGAAGGACGATAGAGGCGAGTAACCTGATGCTAGAGCTTAGGCAAGGGAGGGGCTGGGGACGAGGACGAGGATGCGGATGAGGAGGCCGGCGCCGTCTTGAGTAACAGCCGTGCCGTGGGGCACTTTCATGCAGTCGCGTGTGCGCAGGGTCGGGCGAATCGAGGCACCAGACCAGTCTCGTTCCTTTCTTTTTTTTGGGGGGATGCACGTCAAACGCAAAAGGGTCGCAGGTGTGCATCTTGACCCTGCCGATAACGGCGGCTCAGGCACCACACCTCTGTCCACACGCGCATCTCCACTTTTTCAGCCTTCACGCTCCGAAAGCTCGTCATATGGCCCGCCTCAGTTAGTCGCACCGAGTCGCCATGATCGTCTGTTGTCGTGCAACGCTGTGCAACCGGATCATTCACCGCATCGATCGTCTTCACACTCTCAAATGCCGTCCAAACTTTTTTGGGTAGCGCTCTGAGGCCGAAGGTCATCTTCTGGATTCAGCTCAACACCACCAGCTGGGAGTGAAACGCCGTTCATCGCGCGCAAAGGCCCACAGAGCCGCAAGACCCCGAAGCGGTGCACAGGTCAATTCTTGTTGTTGTTAGGGTCGACAGACGAACAGCTTGGGTAGGCACGTTGTTTGTTTGATCGCCGAGAAATGACACCAGATTTCGTCTTTTTCGAAAAAAATAACGATGGTCATGTGACTGAGCTCAAAGCTCGGCCGAGGTTGATCCAAGCCCAACGGCCCGTCGACGCGGAGAGCACGCATCAGTCGACGAAGAGTTCTTGGCTTCAACCCGGCAGAATTTAGGCAGCGCTCAGCAGGATGCAAAGTGCGTCAGTTGGACCCGGGCTAAAAGCTGCCTTCTGCGCCCAGCGTCTGGTGGCCGTCGAGGGGTTTCTTTGAGAAGGCCGCGGCGAGCGGTTGAGTCGGAGCCCACAGCAGTGAGCAGCAGCGCAGCTCGAGTGTCGAATCCCAAGTTTGAGAGCGCAGTTGGTTGATCGCTGTCGGCGGGCCCAGTAAGGCAACTTGGCCGTCGACACCTGCTCCTCACCATCACCACCACCCATCCCATCAAGGTAAGTCTCGACAACACGTATGGCATCGCATCGTGCCGTTCGATCTGAGCACGGCAGAGCATCAATCTCGACAACACGCAGTCCACCAGTCCAACCTCCGACATTCTTCGACCAGCGCAAACTGCGACCAATTCGAAGCATCAGCATCAATCTACCAAAAGTCTCGCTATCTTCTGCGCACGTACATCTTCGTCATCCGCTTCTGGAACATCCGCCTTCCGACACTTCTCTTGATCATTGACGCCAGGTCGAAATCTGCGAAAGACCCGACGCAGCGCCTCGATCTCCGACTTGCACTCCTGCACGCACCGAACTCGACCTTTTCTTCACCTTTGCGTCTTGTTCTCGTTCCACTCGCTTTGCTCGCCTGCTCAGATCAACAGCTCTACTGCGCTCCGCCCACTCGTTCCACGCACCTTCACGACCAACCCGCTAAGCATTGCCCAACCCGCACCGTTCCACCCTCTTGCAGTGATTCAAGATGTCCAAGGCCGCCGTTGGTACCAAGTTCCGCATGACCCTGGCTCTGCCAGTCGGCGCCGTCATGAACTGCGCCGACAACTCTGGCGCCAAGAACCTCTTCGTCATTGCCGTCCACGGCATCGGTGCCCGTCTTAACCGTCTCCCCGCCGCCGCCGCCGGTGACATGGTCGTCGCTTCCGTCAAGAAGGGTAAGCCCGAGCTCCGTAAGAAGGGTAAGTATCAGAATTTCGTTCCGTCAAAGTCAGCAGCAGCAGTCATCGTCGTCGCCAGCACAATCGTCCAGCACGTTCGCACATCAGCACATCACTCGCAACCCACCGGCAGGAAGCCTCTCAGGGGACCCCACTAGAGGATTTGGATTGCAGGAGGAAGAGCATCTCGTCGTAGGAGAGGACATTGGTGCGCAGGCTGCATCGAGCCGCAAAGGAGCGTGGTCAGCCGTTGGCAACCAGTTGCAGCAGTCATGGTTGCAGAGCGTCCCTCACCATCCAGTGAAGGGCCAAATGATTCCCGTGCAGTCTCGCAGGAAGCTCAGCGAATCGTGGACATCCGTTGGATGCAGGGATCAATACTTTGTGCTTGGGTGGGCCTGATTCGGAGTAATTTGCAGCGCATGCTTGTTTCGCCAGCGCAAGACAGTGCCCGGGGGCGGACTACAACGACCGGCAGACGACGACGCTGCTGCGATTTTCAGCCATTGATTGCCAACAGCGATACTGATACCTCGACATTCCCTTACCCAAACTGCAGTCATGCCCGCCGTTGTCGTCCGCCAGCGCAAGCCCTGGAGGCGTCGTGACGGTGTCTTCCTCTACTTCGAGGACAACGCCGGTGTTATCGTCAACCCCAAGGGTGAGATGAAGGGTTCGGCCATCACTGGCCCCGTTGCCAAGGAGTGCGCCGACATCTGGCCACGAATTGCCTCCAACGCCGGTACCGTCGTCTAAGCGCGCACACCATCCCTTGCCGCTTTCCTCCCCTCCGCACCTCTTGTATTTCATACAGTCCGCATCTCACGGACTCTCGCATCTGTTGGCGGCGGGCGAACGCTGTCCTCACTCGCCCAACGTGCCTTGTCGTCACGTCCTACATCTGATACGACATCACTCTCACTCCCTCCTTCCCCCAAAAAATGACAGCATGCTCCTCATAACACTGCATTGGATGCACAGCTTGCGTGGACTGTTCACTGAATTGAGAGCAGCAGAACGACGGCAGCACCAAAGTGAGGGCACGTTGAAGACCTCTCGTGTCGTGGCTGAATGAAGCGGCGAGCCAGCCTGAGGTGTGGAGGAGGCTAGTGGAGGCGGACGGCAAAATTGTTTACGTCGAAACCCTTGCTGACGTGGTTTGAGCGCCTTTCTGCTTCTTGCAAGACCACCACTCGCGCTGTCGCTCACCTTCACCCTACGCTGTGGATATGGATCTCGAAGCTGCGCCATGATTTGACGGTGCCGAATTGGTCCTGAAGTCGGAGCGATATGCGAGCCAGCGACTTGCGTGCTCAGGACCCGCAGTCATGACTTCCACAGTGGGAGGCGGCCACGAAGCCACCGAGCTCGACGTCGAAGCTCTCGCCGAGGAGCTATCACGGTCTTCGATCCACGACCCCGTCGGGCATCTACTGGTCCGGCTCGACGATGCACAAGGCTACGACAGGCTGCCGCAGCCCACCTTGCCGCCCGAGGTGCTCGAGAGGGTGGTGCGACACATCCAACCCGACGTGCTGGTTGGAGACCCTGTCGCCTACATTACGCTGGTGCGGCTCAGCTGCGTCAGCCGTCTCATGCGCCACTGGGCGCTCGAAGCACTCTACTCGGTCATCATCCTTCCGCGCCACGTTCGCGAGTTCCGCAAGTGGTACTCGCGCTCCGTCAAGTCGCAACCGGCCTTCCAGTTCGCAGGCTACAGCCGGGCGCTCTTCAGCGGCTTGGACGATGTATCCAGACTGACCTCCTTCTCCGCCGGCTGGGATCACGAGCTCCTGCGCCTGCTGCACTACTGCGGCCCAACGCTCACACACCTCTCGCTGTGGCGTTCCGAGTCGATGGCGCTGCTGCGCGATCCGGGTCAAGTTCGCGAGGGCTACCGCTTCGGCACGTCTCAGCCCGTGCAGGTGTGGGGAGACAAGGAGGCGGACGCCGAAGTCGAGGTGGCCGATGACGAGGACGACGGTTTTGTTGCACCGCCCGAGGCAGCTCATGCGGACGACCTGTTCAGCAAAGAGGAGCTCGACGACATGCCCGGCTGGCTTCAGGCCGAGATCAGGCTGCAGGGTACTCGAGCCGTCACGATCCGACACAAGGCGCATCTGACGCCCACGCGCCGAATCACGCGTCGCCAACAGGGCTGCCAGCCGACGCATCTCAGCATCATGATGAGCTTGCCGCTGCTGGAGCACGAAGATCCGAAAGTGTTCCCCAGGATGCTCATCTGGCACCGGGTGCAGGAGCTCGACGTGCACATTTCCACCCCTGGCCACACGCCCAGGATCTTGCGGCTACTTGCGAGCCTGCGCGAGTCTCCAATACGTCGGCTGAGGATTTCGACGAGCTTCTCTTCGCTATGCATGATGACGCCGCCCTTTCCGCCGTCCAGGCGGGAGCAGGAAGCCCGGGAGAATGGTGAAGAACTCGAGATGAACGATCGCAGCGGGACCTTCGCCGCCGAGTCACCGTATGGAAGCAATAAGCCTGCTCTCAACCTGTGTGATGCGCTTACAAGCATCTTGCGGGATGAGGTGCTGCGAGGGGTGCTGATCGACGAGCTGCAAGGCAAGCCGCACACCGCCGTCGCTCATCTGGAGCACTTGATGCTTCGGTGCTGCCTCGACGGTCCCAACCGACGATGGAGCAGCAAGCCAGACTGCGTCGACGTTGCTGATCCAAGCACGCCTGCTTCGGCATTCGATACGCAGGCCAGGTCGTCGTCTCGGCCGGCGTGGGCAGCGGGTCGGGCGAGCGACTTTCGTCTAACCATCACGCGCGGAAACCAGGCCTTGTGGGCCAAACTCAAGGACCGCCTGTGGGACTTTCGCCAGCGAGCCGAAGGGCTCAGCGAAGGCTCGTGGGAAATGCTGTCATAGCTGGAACCAGCACCTCACGGAAAGCCCAGTCGGACGACGACAGCCATCTGCTCATAAGTTCATCTGCTACGCAAGGCTTTCACTCGGCTTTCCCAGTAACGATACACATCCTACGTAAGATAGAATGAAGACGATAATGGAGCATACCCTCGCAAATATGTAGTCCCCACCTTCCCGACTGTCGATGACGTGAGGAGGCGATTGTTTCGTGTGAAGACATCGTATCGCTGTGCAACCGTGTGGGATACAATGATGGCCAAAAGGCCGCCTGCCGTGTAGAGTGAAATCGGTAACCTTTGGCTATGACCCCCCCAGGCCGTCCAAGGCAACGTCCAGAAAAATCATTTCCGGTCCGCTGTGGGACGGCGGCGGTCTGAATCGACTTTTCGAGCTTCAGCCCAGTTGAGTTATTCAAAGCGCGGCTTTTGGGTCGGGCAATCAGGCACACCAAAAAGGCAGCAGCAACAGAAGCAGCAGCAGAGCACGGCTGCCCACTTACCCGCAACCCGAAAAAAAGAGGTCCCGGCTACCGCCACGTTTCGCGATAGCATCGCTCGCCGTGTCGCCATTCCCACCATCCACCTCTGTCGATGCTCGTGTGCGCAAGCTGCTGCTCAGCAAACAGCTAGCCACCGTGCGTCTGCGGCAAGTGCGACGCGTGTCGGCAGCAGCACCTCGCACCCCTCACCACCGCCTCACTACCGCCCCTCAATCGCCGTCGTCACAGCCACCGCACGCTCACCTCGTCTGACACATTTGCTCGATCATTCACGACACTTTGGCTAGCGCCACCAAGCCCGCGGGATCGCTACTGCTTCCCGCGCGGTCGTCCATCATGCAGCCGCCACAACACATGCCCATCAACATGGGCCAGCCCTCCGGCAGCATCGACTCGTCAGCACACCAAGTCGGCCATTCCAATAACACGCTCTTTCCCGGTGGCTTGCCGCATACCTCGATGCCCAACGATCCGCTCACCGCCGCCCTCGGCCTGCTCCCGCCCGAGCTGCTCCAATCGCACCAGCACCAGCATCTCCACCAGCAATTTGCCCAGCTGCCTTCATCGCAACCCATCGGATCTGCATCGCTGCTTTCGCATGTGCACAGTCAGATGCAGACCTCACACGATTCGTTGCTGCCTCAAGCGCCGCATGTTGCACACGGCTCGTCTGCGTCCGGCCTCTCACAGCCTCCTCAAGTAGACATGCGCCAAGCCCCACAGTTATCGAATAACCAGCCCGGTTCCTCGCAGCAAGGACAGCCGCATCAGCAGTCGCGTTCGCGTCACCAGCAACGCTCACCAGCCACAGCTCAGCACCAGCATCAGCAATCCCAGCAACCCCAGCCATCTCAACACCAACAGTCCTCGCGTCAATCTCAACCTCTTCCAAATCATCAGGGCCAGCAGGCGCAATCCTTGCGTCCCCAGGGCCACGTGCATCTCAATCACGGCCAGCATCAGTCGTCGCCCCAGCCTCAGCAGCCGCCAAATCTGGCCCAGCTGCTCGGCTCCGCTTCCACAGCTCAGACGCATCAGCCAGCTCTGCTGCAGCAGCATGCCTCGATCCTCGCCGACGTGCGCTCTTCCATGTCCACCTTTTCGGCCTCCTTGCACGACGCAAAGCAAAAGACACCCGCCGACCGCGCAGACATCCGCGACGTCGTCTCCGTCCTCGATGGCGCAGTCAAGACGCTTGCTGCAGAGATCGAACAGGGCGTAGTCAAGCTTCGCGCGCTTCAAGGCTCTGCCGCCCTGAACAACTTTGCTGGACTATTTTCCGGTTCCAACGCCAATTCAATGGGGCCCGGCTCGACAAACGGCAATGACTTGTTTGGCGCCCTCAATCAGTTCGGCGTGCAACAGAACCAGCAACAGCAGCAGCAGCACGGCAACCAGGGGTTGCCCTTTGACCTCGGTCTCGGCTTCCACCAGCAATCCCAGTCGAATGGCATGTTCAACATGAATGGGACACCCAACTCCAATGGTCCTAATGGCGGGCCTTCGGGACTCAACGGGCCTTTCAATAACGACATGGCCATGGGTCAAGGCGGATCAGGCTCGCAGAATGCCTCGATGATGTCCTCGTTGCTGGCGCAGTACCTGTCTCAGTCTAATGACCCGGCTGGCCGCCTGGGTGCGCTCTCGCTCTTCCAGTCTCTCGCCGGCGCGGGCGGCGCAGGATCTCCGCCCGCTGGCATGCAGGGCCTCGATGCGCTGTTGAACCAAGCTCTGCCCCAGCAGAACCAGGCGCAACAGCAGACACAGCAACAAGCTCGGCCCGGTCAGCAAGGCGCGCATCTTCCAAATGGGGCTCCGCTCACAAATGCTGCTGCCCTCGCCGCTTTGACCTCTCTCGGCGTGACACCAACCATGCTCGAGGCCTTGGGTCTGGGATCTGTCGCACAGCAGATGCTCGAGGCTCCTGCTGACGGTCCCAGCACGAACAGCAGCAAGCAGAGGTCCAGATCGCCCGACATGCGCGAAGACAGCCCAGAAGCCGACTCGCTCGAAGGCTCGTCCGAACCGTCTCGCAAGAAGAGGAAGCATGTGCGAGGCAAGGTCCAGATTCAACCTGACGCAGGTGTCTCGAGGCCGCCGTCAAAGATTGTGGAGAGCAAGACTGCTTCAGAGTCTCGCCCTGGACCTGCATCTGCGACGCCGGCCTCGCCACCTGTAGCCAGTGCCGCGAATCGCGACCGCAATGTTGCGTCGAGCTCGACCATTCCCGGCTCAGCAGGCCCATCCGACGCTTCGAAGCGCATCCCGACGCTCGGTGTCGGGCTGCGACAGGAGGGCGATAAGCGCTATCGCAACCGCAAGCTTCTTCGCGATCTGCGAGAGCATCTGTACCGATGGCTGGGAACCGACGAATTCCGCAAGCTGCGCAACACGTACAAGGTAGCCGAGTGGGTGCCGAATCCGCATCTGACCGACGAAGAGAAGCAGATCCTCGCCTCGCTGCCGCCGGCGGCCGTGGCGCAGCCGCCCATCACGACGCACATCTTCCATGTGGACTTTACGAGCCGAGACTTTTACCGCACCAACCAGTCGCTCATCGATGCCATCGTCGCAGAGGGCTCCAAGAAGGTCGAGGCCAAGCCCGAGGCGTATGCGATTGTTCCCGGCACGATCGACCGCGACCATCTGGAAGATGTGGCCAAGGATCTGATGGATTCGGCTCGGTCTGGATTCCGCATGTCGCTGCGCACGGGCTTGCAGGCGGAGAAGGAGGACAAGGAGAAGCACGAAAAGTACCGCGGCGTCGAGCGAGCCAAGACCAAGTGCAGGAACCGCGAGATCGGAGCGGGACGGCTGCGACATGCGATTCCGAAGCAGCTGCTCATCCCGGGCGCGTACTCGGACGATGCGGCAAGTGACGAGGATCTGCACGGCCTGACCAAGTCCGAATGGAAGCGACAGAGGCTGCGTAAGCTGCGCATCGCCAAGGGTTGGGAGGCGGTGACGCCCAAGTGGCGCAACAAGCACCTTACGCGCGCATACCACAAGGCGGACATTGTGAGCAAGAGCAAGCAGATGGCACGCTGGCGTCGTGATGATCCGGTGGATCTGCCGATTCCGATCAAGCTGTACGGGAAGCTGCTGCCGAAGCAACTTTTCGATCCGGACTGGTTGGCGGAGCATCGAAAGGAGCTCGAGGAGGAGCCGTACTGCATCCGCATCAACGACAACGACATTGACGGCTGGGAGGAGTCGCACCATCCGCTGGGCGAAGACACGAGCGACGAGATGGAGTGGAGCGATGCCAAGGAGAGCTCGCTGCGCGGAAGACAGCTCACCTCGGCGCCGTCCAGCAGCCGTGACAGGGGTTCAAACACTCAATCCCCTGCTCCCGTGACTGGCTCTTCGAGTGCGCCGATAGCGCGTCCAGGCGAGGACAGCAAGGCTGGTTCATCCATACCCGTATTGCAAGCCTCGAGCAGCACACTTACGGCTTCCGAGGCCGCGCAGCCCGAGACGGACAAGGCGCCCGAAAGCAAGACGCTAGCACAGACTGCATCGGAAGCGGAAGCGACCAGCAGCATCTCTGGCAGCTCGCGCTCTGGCAACGTCGACACTGCCGACACGGGCGATACAGGCGCCAGCGAGTCCGAGTCCGACGTGTCGACGACCGACAAGCCCCCCGCCGCACCCGCCCAAACCGACGCCATGTCGATGTCCGATTCGTAGCATCCTGCTGTACTCTCCATCCGAGGCACTTAATTGATTCCAGCCATTGCTTCTAATTTATCATACTCCAGCACCAGCCTGTGCAGTCTGGATGTGCGCTCAAGAGCTGTCGACATCCTGGTCAGGGAGATAAAGGTGCACGAAATCCATCTGTGAAACAAAAAGGAGGCAGGAAATGGGCACAAAAATGAAAAGTTCCCGCGAACCAAAAAAGATGAGTTTAAAGTTCTCCGAATCCGGGAATTGAACCCGGGTCTGCGCCGATTTCTGCGCGGAGAACCGTCAATTGAATGACAAGGCGCCGTCATAGCCACTAAACTAATTCGGACGCTTTCATGTCTACCTGCCGCAATATTGTGTATATATTCCCCCTTGCTACGTAACTTTATGGACTGGCCGAGCTTTCTACTACAGTAGCGGCGGCTCAATGGCGTTATGCCTCGAGATGTGCGCCTGGTAGTGTTCAGGCTTGCGAGTGGTAGCGCTTAGAGTGGGTTCAGGGGGGACTGGATGGCGTGCACGGACATTGGACCCGGCGTCATGGCTCTCGCACAACCCACCGAGTCCGCCACGCGAGCTTGGCTCGACCTGGTTGCTGGCAATGAGACCTGGATGCGTGCGCTATGTGGTTGAGGTTACGAGACCCACGGGCCAGAGTAGCGAAGTTCGGATGTGACGGTGAGCTGGTGGATGGCCTACACGCAAGGTGACGAAAATGACTGGGCTCGGTTAGTCGGGTTGCTGCGTTTGGGCCGCGTCTGAGGCCACGCGCACCAGCAAACTTTCCGAGACATTCGCTTGCAAACGACGT